CGCTCTAAAGCCGCCGGCGGGTCGCTGTGGGGCCCACCGCGGCGCACGGCCGGCTAACGGGCGGTCGGTGCTCCGTTGGAGCTCCACAGCGGGCGCCGCCGCGCTTCCAGCAGCGCTGAGGGGGCGGGGCGTGCTGCCTCCCGAGCCCCGCCCGCCCCTGCGGCCGCGGCGAAGTCTCGCGAGAGCGCGGGAGCGCGGCCGCTGCGATGGCGGCGGTCGCCGCCGTGTGAGGGCGAGGGCGGCCCGGCCCGGCCGCCGCCCCCGCTCCCCGCCCGCTGCCGATCCCCCTCCAGCCCCTCGCCGTCTCTCCATCCCGGCCCCGCACCTGCAATATGAAGGCAGCGCCGGGCAGCGCCGAGGGTGAGTGCGGCGCGAGGGACGCGGGGGTTCCCGTGAGGGAGCGAGCGGGGCCCGGTGGATCCGGGGCTCCGGGCGTGGGGATGAGGTGCCGCCCCGGAACGTGAAACGGGCGAGGGTCTCAAAGGTGATTTGAGGTCTGAGGCGTCTCTGTGATGAGGAGGGAGCGCGGAGCCGGGCCTGGTTACTCTGGAGAAGACAAGCTTGAGGGGGGATCCCGTAAATCCGTAGGGAAAGCTCCAGGGAGTGTCAGAGCGGGTGCCGGGCTCTGTTCAGTCAGCGACAGCGAGGAGCAGCGGCCAGAAACCGAAACACAACAAGTTCCAGCTCGGTGTGAAGAAGAGGGTGTCAGAGCCTGGAAGAGCTGCCCAGGGAGGGTGTGGGGTCTCCCTCTCTGGAGGGATTCCACTCCCACCTGGGCACATTCCAGGTGACCCTGCCTGCTCAGGGAGGTGGGGCTGGGTCCTCTGCTGAGCTCCCTTCCACCTCTCTGCTGGGATTTTGGACAGCTCACTGCTGGTTGGGGAGGGGGCTTGCACCAGGTGAGCTCCAGGGGTCCCTTCCCAGCTCCAGCATCTTGCACTGGTGCAGCTGAGGGGTTTAAAGTGCCTGGAAACAAAACCCCAGAATTGCTGGGGTTGGAAGGGACCTCTGGAGATAATCTAGGCCAACCAGGGAGCACAGGAGTGTGGCTCCAGAACAGCCAGCACACATTCATTTGTTCCTTACACTTGGGTTTGGAGGGCTCAGTGTGAGCTCTGTGGGCTAGGAAAGCACCAATAAGGAACCCAAACTGGAAGTTTGGCAGGTGGATCCTGTGAGGTGACACCACAATGTCATATTTGCCTTGGACCCTCTGGGGCTGGGCACAGGGTTTATTCTGGAATGATGCCCGCTGGGTTTTTGGGTTTTTTTTTGACTGGAAAGTATAGAAAGCTGTGTTTCTTGGTAATAAAATACAGATTTGAGTGCTCCTGAAAGCCATGTTGTCTCTGTCACCTTCCAGCCACTCCCAGCACACGGCATGGCTGCCCTCAGCTTTGAGCTGATTGTGGAGTTCTGGAATGTTCCTGAGCTGGAAGGGACCCACAGCAGCATCAAAGTCCAGCTCCCAGCCCTGCACAGGCACCCCAAAAGCCCCACCCTGTGCTGAGAGCCTTGTCCCAGCACTCCTGGAGCTGTGCCCATGCCCTGAGGAGTCTGTTCAGAGCCTGAGCACCCTCTGGGAGAAGAACTTTTCCCAAAATTCAACCCAAACCCCCCTGGCACAGCTCCAGCCACTGCCCCAGGTCCTGCTGGGAGGCAGGAGGGTGTCTGAGCACAGAATTTGGGACAGCTGGAATGACTTGGCTGAGGGTTTTCATGATGTGTGAGGACCTTTCAAGAAGAGGGGGAATCCAGGACACAAAATTCCTTTAACCCTGTGTGTCCCACACCCTCAGTTTCCTGCCCCTGGGGGTCCTGTCCTGGCAGAACTGAACCTGTTGAGGCCACATCACTCAGGGATGGAGCAGAACAGGAGCTGGGCATTTTCCAGACAGGCATTCCATGGCATTTTCATGGGAAAATCCTGGGATATTCATGACATTTACCTCACCTCGAGGTCTGGGGTTAAACCAGCAGTAAGAAAATCCTTTGAAATAATTTTAAAGGTGTAAAGTTTCGTATTCCTGCATTGATTTGTAAAGGTTCCAGTGTTGGCTCCTCGTGTTTCCTGACCATTCCTGTCTCCCAGAGGCAGAAATCCTCTGAAATCATCTTAAAGGTGTAAAGTTTTGTATTCCTGCACTGATTTGTAAAGACTCCAGTGTTGGCTCTTTGTGTTTCCTGACCATTCCTGTCTCCCAGAGGCAGAAATCCTCTGAAATCATCTTAAAGATGTAAAGTTTCTTAAAGGTGTAAAGTTTTGTATTCCTGCATTGATTTGTAAAGGTTCCAGTGTTGGCTCTTCGTGTTTCCTGACCATTCCTGTCTCCCAGAGGCAGAAATCCTTTCAAAGATGTAAAGTTTTGTATTCCTGAATCAATTTGTAAAGGCTCCAGTGTTGGCTCTGTGTTTCCTGACCGTTCCTGTCCCCCAGAGGCAGAGAAGCTGAACAAGATGAGCTCCCTCCTGGAGAGGCTCCACGCCAAGTACAGCCAGAACCGGCCCTGGACAGAGACCATGAAGCTGGTCAGGCAGGTCATGGTGAGCATTGCTGGGCTCTGGCAGGCCCTGCCTGCAGCTGCCCTGCTGATGGCTTTGGCTTGGCTTCTCAGATCTCTGCCAGGTCTGTTTGGTTTGGTTTGGTTTGGTTTCACTCTCTCCTGAGGGGTGCAGAGGAGGGAGGGATGTTCAAACCCTCCCTGCCTGACGTGCCTTTCCCTCCCCTAATCACAGATTAGTGCCAGGGAAAGGGTCAAACCTGAATTTTCTGCTCCTCACCCTTCCAGGATATTGTTTTGTGGAGCAGAGAGTTGTTTTGTGGGTATTTTTCACTCCACACTCAGCCCTGGCTTAGTCAAAAATGGGTTTAAAATATTGATGTGGGTGGGAGGAGATCTCAGCAAAGCCTCCTGCCCATTCTCAGGTGTTAAAAGTTTGCCCAGCTCTTTATTTTTCTGTCTCTTCTTCTAAAACTCTCAGCTTAGACCTATAAAAAGTTGCTGCATTCTGCTCTTCCAGCTGGGCAAATTGCTAAAAAGAAAATGATTCCAGGCCTGCCTTTGTAATCTGCTTGCAAACAGATACTGTTCACCTAGAGGAATCAAAATGTTGTAATTTGGGGGTGAAATCTAATCTGCTTTTAATTATCTAAACAAACCTCACTTGGCTGCTCAAAAGTTGCCATAATTCCCTCCTACTGAGGAAAAATGATATTTTTTTCTTCTGTCTGCCCAAGGAAAAGCGTGTGGTGCTGAACTCAGGGGGACACCAGCACCTGGTGAGCTGCTTGGAGACACTGCAGAAGGCCCTGAAAGGTTGGTGTGCTCTCTGTGGGAGAGGAAAATCCTATGGAAATGCTCCATAAAAACCACACAAGGTGTTTTTGCTGTGTTTCACTGGGTTCATCACACACTGAGCTCAGTGCCAGGCAGGACAGTCAGGCTGTGCTGCTTTTATTGGGAAAATCCTCTCTTTGTCCACAGAATCTGTGGCTGCCCCATCCCTGGAAGTGTCCAGGGCTTGGAGCAGACTGGGATAGTGGGAGGTGTCCTGCTGGATGGGCTTTAAGGTCCCTCCCAACCCATTCCATGACTCTGTGAGTGCCCATCCCTGGATCCCACTTGCAGAAGAAATTCCATCTCTCCTTGCAGTTTGGGAATATTTGGGTTTTTCTGTGCAGACCCTCGTGTCTGCATCTGGGGACAGATCCTGTGTAGTTGCACAGTGTGAGCAGACATGGGAGGGTGTAACAGTTGGGATTGGGTTCATTGCTGGTGCCTCATTCCTTCGGGAATGTTGGATCACTCCCCTGAAGTTTGGTTTTTGTTCCCTCCATCAGTGTCATCTCTGCCCGCCATGACCGATCGCTTGGAGTCCATCGCCAGGCAGAGCGGGTGGGTCACGGCAGAGACTCCTCCTGTGCCCTGCCACAGCCAGCCCTGTGGGGCTGGGGGCTTGTGTGCTGGATTGGGGGCTTGTGTGGTGGATTGGGGGGCTTGTGTGATGGACTGGGGGGCTTGTGTGCTTGGATTGGGGGGGTTTGTGTGGTGGATTTGGGGCTTGTGTGATGGATTGGGGGGGGTTGTGTGGTGGATTGGGGGGTTGGTTTGGGGGGCTTGTGTGATGGATTGGGGGGTTTTGTGTGCTTGGATTGGGAAATTCTGTGTGCTTGGATTATGGGGTTTTGTGTGCTTGGATTGTGGGGTTTTGTGTGCTTGGATTGTGGGGGTTTGTGTGATGGATTGGGGGGTTTGTGTGCTTGGTTTGGGGGTTTTGTGTGCTTGGATTGTGGGGTTTTGTGTGCTTGGATTGGGGGGTTTGTGTGCTTGGATTGGGGGGTTTGTGTGCTTGGACTGTGGGGTTTTGTGTGCTTGGATTGTGGGGTTTGTGTGCTTGGATTGTGGGGTTTGTATGATGGATTGTGGGGTTTTGTGAGCTTGGATTGGGAAGTTTTGTGTGCTTGGATTGGGGGGTTTTGTGTGCTTGGATTGTGGGGTTTTGTGTGGTGTATTTGGGGGGTTTGTGTGATGGATTGGGGGGTTTTGTGTGACGGATTGGGGGGTTTTGTGTGGGTTCTGTGTGCTTGGATTATGGGGTTTTGTGGGTTTTTTTTCTGTGCATCTCAGTGATTTTTGTTCTGTTTCCTGTGGCAGCCTCGGGTCCCACCTGAGCGCGAACGGCACCGAGTGCTACATCACCTCAGACATGTTCTATGTGGAGGTGCAGCTGGACCCCACAGGGCTGCTCTGTGATGTCAAGGTGGCTCACCATGGAGAAAACCCCGTGGTGGGTATTCCTGGGAAAAAGGAGCCTTTGTGCTTTTGGCATTCCTGATTATCTCCCTTTATTTTGAGCAGAGGAAATGGGTTTTATTTAATATTCCCTTAGACCCAGGGTTGCACCCTTGCTGCTTGTTCTAGTGGGAAGTAAAATCCTCCATGGAGTAGTTTGCTCCTGTGGGATTTTCTAATCAATGCACACTGTGGATCCACAACTTGCAAAATTATTTGGGGATTTACCTCAATTTTTCTGAGAATTTTGTGGAAGTTTTTGCTGTGTTTCCAAGGAAAGGAAAGGGAAGTTATTCTTACAAAGCTCAGATCTGGGAATGGAAAGTTAAAAATTGTGGAATGCTGGGAGAAAATGCCCTTCTGCACATGGAGGAGAGTTTGAGCTTGGTGTTTGATTGGCCTCTCCTCAGAACAGCCCATCTTTAGTATCTCTATATAAGCTCATGGATTTTCAACCTAAATCTTTACAGCTTGAGAAATTTATTTCAAATTAATAATTTAAGAGGAAATGTTATGACCTGGATTTGTTCTGCTTGAGGAGCAGAAGTAGAACCACAGCAAGTGGTTGTGAGCATTGTGTGGCTTCCCAGGAAAAGCTGATGCTTGGGAATCCCCTGCCCTGACATTTGCCAGCTGCACAAAGCCTGCAGTGGCTGCATTCCACACTGACATCCTTGTGTGTTCTTCCTTTGCAGAGCTGTCCAGAGCTGGTGCAACATCTGAGGTGAGTGACAGGGGTGGCTTGTTGTGTTTTCTCTTTGCTGTAGTGATCTGATGCTATTTGATGTCTGCAAGCACAAAGTTCTTCACAACTGCTCCTTCCCCACAAAGTGTCTTCACTTCTCCAGGGGTTTTCTGGTTGTGGCTCAGATCTTGTGATTCTGGCTGCTGTGCAAGGTGTCTTCAAAGCCCACAGCATATTAAAGCTGCATCATTTAAAGAACACGTTTTCATGTGCAAAAGTCTTTTTTTTTTAAGTGGCTCAGCATCTTTATTAATAATCACTTTTTAAAATGAAACTAGTCTGTTATTAATGTGAATACTTGGTAACTTCCTCTTTTTCCTTTCAGAGAGAAAAATTTTGATGAGTTTTCAAAGCATCTGAGGGGACTTGTGAACCTGTATAAGCTGCCAGGGGACAAGTAAGTCCAGGATATATTTCTATATAAAATGAAATAACCAGTCAAGAAGACATTTATTTATACCCACACATATAAAATGAAAAAAAAAAAACCACCTCCAAACTTGTAGGTTTGCACTGCACAGTTCCTTTCAAGTTTTCTTATATTGTTTTATTTTTTTTTCCCTAAGCAAACTTAAAACTAAAATGTACTTGGCTCTGCAGTCCTTGGAGTTGGATCTCCAAAAGATGGCTGGCATGTATTGGTAAGTTCTGTGGTGTCTGTGTGGTTTTCTAAATGTCTATAAATGCTTAGAGCTCTGAGAAATTCCTTTTTAACTGCAGGATTTGATTTGAGGCAAAATAAAAGTTTGTAGCCAGGTGGATTCAGTGATGTTGTGGTTTAAATTGAGAAAGCTTTGGCCTTGTTTCACTGCTGTAGGTTCAGTGATAAACCAGCCATGCTGTAGAGGGTAAAGCAGCTTTTGTTTTGCCTGTACAGTGTGCAGTTTTGGATCAACCCCTCTTTGGGTCCCAGCAATGTGAATTTTGAGTTGAAATCAGTCTCAGCACATGGATTTTGGTTTTGGGTGTGGCTGTGGCTTGTTCAGACTGTGATTGCCTCTCTTGCAGGCAAGCCACCAATGCAAACCCCCTGGACAAGATCCTCCATGGCAGTGTTGGCTATCTCACCCCCAGGAGTGGAGGTACCTGTGATTCACTCTTAAAAAAATGAATTAATTTGAATTAATTTTAAAAATTTATTTGTTCCTGGCCTCAAGTGTAGGTCATAGTTCCACATTAACTGATGAAAAATAATAAAGTACAAGAGAGACAAAGTCTTTGGGTGTTTGTGTGGCTTTGTGGGGTGGGGATGATCAGGATGACTTCTCAGGATGCCTCATCAGAGTTTCTGTCCCCAGGTCTCCTGATGAACCTCAAGTATTACGTCTCCCCCTATGATTTATTTGAGGATGGCACTGGAGCCCCCGTGGTTCTGCACGAGAACAATGGTAGGTCAGCTGTGCAGCTGCTGGGGGCTGCTTGAAGGAGGGAAGGGAGCAGAATTCCAGGCTCTGCTGTCCCCCTGTCCAGCAGGACAGTCCCAGGTTTAATGAGCTGTCCATTAAACCTGTCCAGTCCCAGGTTTAATGAGCTGTCCATTAAACCTGTCCAGTCACAGGTTTAATGAGCCCAGGTGCCAGCACTGGCCCCAGGTGACCACTGGACCTTGTGGCTGTGCTGGAGTTGGAGCTGGGCTCCTGTGAGGTGTTGGGGTTTGTAGGCAGAGCCTTTTTCCTTGCAGTGAATCTCATTTTAACATGGGATTTGTTTTGTTACCTGAATAAAAACATAGAATCCCAGAGTGGTTTGGGTTTGGAGGGACCTTAAAGCTCATCCATGTGCAGGGACACCTTCCACTATCCCAGGTTCCTCAGAGCCCCATCCACCCTCATGCCTCTCCCATCATACTGAAAGATTGTTTTTATGCATGGACATCTGGCTCTTGTTACAATGCCAAAACCAAGCTCCAGTTGTCAGGAAAAAAAGAGAGGGAAATTATCCAAAATCATAATTTGTTTTTCTTTGCAAAGAGCAAACGATGAACTCGCAAATGCATTTGGAAAATATTTTGAGGATGATGCAATTGGTCCACCTGGCAAAAGGGAAATGGAGCTATGGGTAGAACTGTCAGTTTGGCTGGTGTCCATTTGGTCCTGAAGGTGAACTCTGTGCCTTGTGGGGAAAGCCAGAGTAATATTTTATGGAATCACAGAATATTTTGTGTTGGAAGAGACCCCTCCATTTGGTCCTGAAGGTGAACAGTGAACTCTGTGCCTTGGGGGGAAAGCCAGAGTAATATTTTATGGAATCACAGAATATTTTGTGTTGGAAGAGACCCCAAGGCTCATCCAGTTCCATGGGCAGGGACACCTTCCACTACCCCAGGTTGCTCCAAGCCTCATCCAACTTGGCCTTGAACACTTCCAGGGATAGAGAGTATATTTAATTTATATTTAATCCACAAAACCTGCCACTGGTGGGGGTTTTTTTTCCACCAGCTCATGTCCTTGTTGGGTTCTTGTCCTGCTTCCCCCCGCAGTTCCTCGCTCGCTGGGAATGAACGTGTCGGTGACAGTGGAGGGAACCATGGCCATGCACAAACTTCCAATTGCTCCACTGATCATGGGCTCCCATCCTGTGGACAGCAAAGGGTAAGGGCAGGACACGAGGCCAGCACTCAGCTGTAATTGTCACAGCATTACATGAGTCTCACGTGCTGCCTTTAGGCCAAGAAATGCCTTTTTCAGCTCTGGTGCTTCTGAAGATTGCCTTCATTTCTAGGGTGTAACAAGGTGTATTTGAGCAGCCAGAAATGTTGTGTCAGGTGAGAGCAGAAGCCCTGCAGCTCACAGGACCTTTTGTCCCCCCGTTCTTGCAGAACTCCATCTTTCTCCTCAATCACCAGTGCCAACAGCGTGGACTTGCCTGCTTGTTTCTTCCTGAAGTTCCCACGTCCCATTCCAGTGTCTCGAGCTTTCATCCAGAAACTGCAGAGCTGCACAGGTGGGTTGCAGACCTGTCAGACACATCTCTGGGCTTTTATTCATGTTCCCTCATCTCTATCAGTAAATGCTGCTGATTTTTAATGTGTGCCAGGGGAGTTCCTCAGGGTTTTGTGCTGTTGTCAGTAAAACCTGGACAGGTTTTTATTGTATTTGCTGGGTCCCCAGAATAAGGAAGTAATGAATAATCTGACTCCATGTTCTCAGAAGGCTAATTTATTATTTTATGATACTATACTATATTAAAGAATACTAAACTATACTAAAGAATACAGAAAGGATACTTATGAAAGGCTAAAAAGATAATAATGAAAACTTGTGAGCCCCAACACAGCTTGACCCTAATTGGCCAATAAGTCAAAACAATTCACAGAAACCCAATGAAACAACCATCTCTTGGTAAACAATCTCCAAACACATTCCAAAGGAGCAAAGCACAGGAGAAGCAAATCAGATGATTATTGTTTTCCTTTTTCTCTGAAGCTTCTCAGCTTAGGTGAAGAAAATATGACTACCACAGGTTTTCCACCATCCTGGGTTCAGGTGCCATCATTCCCCTCTGTCTTGCCCCCAGGTATCCCACTGTTTGACACTCCACCCACGTTTGTGCCCCTGTATGAGCTGATCACCCAGTTTGAGTTGTCCAAGGAGGCTGATCCCCTGCCCCTGAACCACAACATGCGCTTCTACGCCGTAAGTGTTCCCTCCCAGGCAGCCTGGGAGCCTCCACAGCAGCACCTCAGGGGGGTTCAGCTGCTTCCAGGTGGGATAAACAAAATGGGTGCAGTATTTATTCACAGACAAAACTTTTTCAAGCATTAGGATTCATGTGCCTGGCTCAGGTTCTCAGAGAAGCAGTGTCTGCCCCAGTCCTGGCAGTGTCCAGTGCCAGGTTGGGCAGGGCTTGGAGCAATCTGGGATAGTGGGAAGTGTCTCAGTCTGTGGCACTGGATGGGATTTAAGGTCCTCCCAACCCAAACCATTCCATGATTCTGTGATGAGCATGGTATTTAGGAAAATCAGGTATTGAAAGATGCTTTGCTGCTGGAGTGCAGCTGCAGGGAGGAGAGCAGAGGGGCTGAGCCTTCCCAGGATCTGTCCCTTCCTTTTGAACAGTGATGTGTGGCTGAATAAATTGCAGCATTTTGGGAGAAATCCTTAAATTTGTGCATGAGTGTTAACTCCAGAGGATTCTCTGCTCAGAAGGGATGCCATCCAGTGTGAAACTGTTTTAGTGAGAACAGTGAGTGCTACTTCTGAGGAATTAAAATATTCAGAGTGGAAGGAAAACATGCTCAGTGTTTGTCCCTATCAGCCAGAAAGGTGACATGGTGTCAGTGCCCTCTGAGCACTGCTGGGTGTCCATTACCCCTTTCTAAAGCAGGGATTGTTTGTCAGGCTCTTCCAGGACAGCAGCACTGTTACTTCCTGAACAAGGACGCTCCTCTCCCGGACGGACGGAGCCTGCAGGGAACTCTGATCAGCAAAATTGCTTTCCAGCACCCCGGCAGGGTGCCCCTCATCCTCAGCTTGATCCGGCACCAGGTGGCCTACAACACCCTCATTGGCAGCTGTGTCAAGAGGACAGTCCTGAAGGAAGGTGGGTGCCACCTCCAGAGGAGTAGGAAGTGGGAATGATGAACTCTGGGGGAGTTTTCTTCATCAGAGATTAAACCACTGCTGCTTTCCTTGGTTTTTTTTTGTTGTTTTTTTTTTTTTTTTTCCCCATCTGTGTGAGGCTCTGGTTCATCTCCACTGTTCCCTGAGTTAAAAGTTCTTGTGTTTTTCAGATTCTCCTGGGATCCTGCAGTTTGAAGTTTGCCCTCTCTCTGACTCCTGTTTCAGTGTGTCCTTCCAGCACCCTGTGAACGACTCCCTGGTGTGTGGTAAGTGGCCTCAGGGGCAGCAGGAGCAGCGTTTTTGGGAAGGCTGGCGGGGTTTCCTCACCCTGTGTGCAGGATTTTCATCTCTCCCCGCTCTCTTGCAGTGGTGATGGATGTTCAGGACTCCAGCCATGTGAACTGTAAGCTCTACAAAGGGTTGTCTGATGCCCTCATCTGTACAGATGATTTCATTGCCAAGGTTGTTCAAAGGTAAGCTGGGATTTTGTCCCACCTTGTGCTCCAAATCACACAGATGAGCTCTGCTCCATCTCCTGTTTATCCAGCAGTTCTGGAGCTGTTCTGAGGTTGTTTGGAGGAGAGAAGAACTCAGAGCCATGCTGAAAATTCAATGCCAGACCTTGAACTGTAGCTATTTATTTTTGAGTTTGTTGGTTACACTGGGCCTTTATCACCTCAGTCACATTCAGAACAGAGCAGGACATTCCCAGGGCACAACACTTCTGTCACCTTTTGGGGAGGAACCACAGGTTTTGCTCTCAGCATGTTACAGACTTGTTATCCATGAGGAGAATGTGGTGTTACACTGATTTTTGAGCTCAAAAAGCTGTCCCTGCCCATGGCAGACGGGTGGAACTGGATGGGCTTTAAGCTCTTTCAACCCAAGCCATCCTGGGATTTTTATGTTTGTAGGAAATCAGGTTTACCAAGCTTAGATAAAGGTGTTTTCTGCCAGAACTGGAGTAACAACCCAGATTCCTTCATGAAGACAGGACGGAGGGAATGACTTTAAACTGAAACAGTAGTTCTAGGTGGGATACTGGGAAGAAATCCCTCCCTGTGAGGGTGGGGAGGCCCTGACACAGGCTCCCAGAGCAGCTGTGGCTGCCCCTGGATCCCTGGCAGTGCCCAAAGCTGGGCTGGACAGGGCTTGGAGCAGCCTGGCACCGTGGGAGGTGTCCCTGCCATGGCAGAGAGAGGGACTGGGTGGGTTTTAAGGCCCCTTCCAAACCAAAGCATTCCATGATTCTGTGCTTTTTAACTACCAGACATTGATCTGTCAGCTATCAGTTTTTAGAGATAATTAATTAATCCTCCCTCTGATTGCAAGTGCAGGTGTCTCGTGGCTGGGTAGGGCTGGTGGGAGGAGCATGAATTCAAGCAGGACAGCAGGACATAAAACCTGGACCTGCTTCTCTCCTGTGCAATTGATACCTGCTGGAGGTGTGAAACCTCCCCAGTGACCTCTGCTGAGGGCAGCCAGCCCCACCCTGACCCTGTGCTGTGTCTTGCAGGTGCATGTCCATCCCTGTCACCATGAGAGCCATCCGTAGGAAAGCAGAAACCATCCAAGCTGACACGCCAGCCCTGTCCCTCATTGCAGAGACAGTTGAAGACATGGTGAAGAAAAACCTGCCCCCAGCCAGCAGCCCAGGGTATGGCATGACCACAGGCAGCAACCCAATGAGTGGGACCACCACCCCAACCAACACTTTTCCTGGGGGGCCCATCACTACTTTGTTTAACATGAGCATAAGCATGAAAGAGAGGCATGACTCGGTGGGCCATGGGGAGGACTTCAGCAAAGTGTCTCAGAACCCTATTCTCACTAGTTTGTTGCAGATCACAGGGAATGTGGGGTCTACCATTGGCTCAAGTCCAACCCCCCCCCACCACACACCACCACCAGTATCCTCACCAGCCAGCAACACCAAGAACCACCCCATGCTCATGAACCTTCTTAAGGAGAATCCCCCTCAGGATTTCTCCACTCTCTATGGGAGCAGCCCTCTGGAAAGGCAGAACTCTTCCTCTGGCTCTCCCAGAATGGAAATGGGCCCTGGGGGGAATAAACAAAAGAAAAAAAAATCCCGCATGCCGGCCGACAAACCCAAGCACCAGACTGAGGATGATTTCCAGAGGGAGCTCTTTTCCATGGATGTTGACTCCCAGAACCCCATTTTTGATGTCAACATGACTGCAGACACCCTGGACACCCCTCACATTACTCCAGCACCCAGCCAGTGCAGCACTCCTCCCACCACGTACCCGCAGGCGCTGCCCCACGCGCAGCCCAGCATCCAGAGGATGGTTCGCCTGTCCAGCTCCGACAGCATCGGGGCCGATGTCACCGACATCCTCTCGGATATCGCCGAGGAGGCTTCCAAGCTGCCCACCACCACTGAGGACTGCCCACCCATTGGGACTCCAGTCAGAGACTCTTCTAGTTCAGGACATTCACAAAGTGCCCTCTTTGACCCCGATGTTTTTCAGGCCAACAGTAGTGAGAACCCCTACACAGACCCCGCGGACCTGATCGCGGACGCCGCTGTGAGCCCCAACAGCGACTCCTCCAACCATTTTTTTCCAGACGGGGTAGATTTCAACCCTGACTTGCTGAACAGTCAGAGCCAGAGTGGTTTTGGGGAGGAATACTTTGATGAGAGCAGTCAGAGCGGAGACACTGATGACTTCAAGGGCTATGCACCCCAGGCTCTAACTAATTTGGGGGTGCAAGTCTTAGGGGCTGATGGGGGGGAAAATAAATTTAAGGGGAGCGCTCCATCCGATACGGTGGATTTTAGTATTATTGCAGCTGCCAGCAAAGCACTGGGGTCCTCTGACATCATGGAGCACCACAGTGGAGGTCAGAGCCCTTTGCTGAACACGGGGGATTTAGGAAAAGAGAAGTCTCAGAAACGGGTAAAGGAAGGCAATGGGTCTGGAAGTGCCATGGCAGGTGCTGGGATGGATGGGAAGCCGGGGAAGCGCAGCCGCACGCCATCCAGCGATGGCAAAAGCAAAGAGAAACTTCCAAAGAGGAAGAAGCAGGAGACAGATGGGAAATCTCCATCCCACAGTTCATCCAACAGGCCCTTCACGCCACCAGCAAGCACAGGTGGGTCCAAATCTCCGGGGAGTTCGGGCAGATCCCAGACTCCTCCCGGGGTAGCTACTCCTCCTATTCCAAAAATAACCATTCAGATCCCAAAAGGAACAGTGACTGTTGGCAAACCATCTTCACACGGCCAGTACACCAGTAGTGGTTCTGTCACCTCCTCCAGCAGCAAAAGCCATCATAGCCATTCTTCCTCCTCCTCCTCTTCTTCCTCCTCGTCAACCTCAGGCAAAATTAAAAGCAAATCAGAAGGGTCTTCTGGCTCAAAGATGAGCAGCAGCCTCTACTCCAGCCAAGGCAGCTCCGGCTCGGGTCAGTCCAAGGGCTCGGCCCAGTCGGTGGGAAAGCCAGGATCCTCCCCCATCACCAAGCACGGCCTCAGCGCCGGCTCTGGCAGCACCAAGATGAAACCTCAAGGAAAGCCATCGTCCCTCATGAACCCTTCCATGAGCAAACCAAACATCTCCCCGTCCCACTCGAGACCCTCGGGGGGTTCTGAGAAACTCGCCTCTCCCATGAAGCCTGTCCCAGGTACTCCCCCGTCGTCGAAAGCGAAGTCACCCATCAGTTCAGGCTCTGGTGGGTCCCACATGTCTGGGACTGGGTCTAGCTCGAGCATGAAATCATCTTCAGGCATGGGATCCTCCGGGTCTATGTCGCAGAAACCGCCTCCCTCATCCAATTCCTCCACGGCCTCTTCATCTTCCTTTTCATCCAGTGGGTCTTCCATGTCTTCATCCCAGAACCAGCATGGAAGCTCCAAAGGCAAGTCCCCGAGCAGAAACAAGAAGCCATCGCTGACCGCAGTCATAGACAAGCTGAAGCACGGCGTGGTCACGAGCGGGCCTGGCGGAGACGACCCCATGGATGGACAGATGGGGCCGAGTTCCAATTCCTCAAGCCATACAATGTCCTCCAAACACAACATGTCTGGAGGGGAGTTCCAGGGAAAGCGGGAGAAGAGCGACAAGGAGAAATCGAAGGTCTCCGTTTCTGGAGGATCCGTCGACTCTTCCAAGAAGAACTCGGATTCCAAAAACGTCGGAAGCACTGGAGTGGCCAAAATTATCATCAGCAAACACGATGGTGGTTCCCCCAGCATTAAAGCCAAAGTAACCCTTCAGAAACCCGGGGAAGGGGGTGGGGACGGGCTGAGGCCTCAGATGGCTTCTTCCAAAAGCTACGGATCCCCCCTGATCAGCGGCTCCACGCCCAAACACGAGCGCTGCTCCCCCAGCCACAGCAAATCCCCGGCCTACACCCCCCAAAACATCGACAGCGAGAGCGAGTCGGGCTCTTCCATCGCCGAGAAATCCTACCAGAACAGCCCCAGCTCCGACGACGGCGTCCGGCCCCTGCCCGAGTACAGCGCCGAGAAGCACAAGAAGCACAAAAAGGAGAAGAAAAAAGTGAAAGACAAAGATCGGGACAGAGAGAGGGAGCGGGATAAGGACAGGGACAAGAAGAAATCCCACGGCATGAAGCCCGAGAGCTGGTCCAAGTCTCCCATCTCGGCAGATCAATCCCTGTCCATGGCGAGCAACGCCATCCTCTCAGCTGAGAGGCCATCCCGGGCCAGCCCCGAGTTCCTGATCGGGGAGGAGGATGATGATCTCATGGATGTTGCTCTAATTGGCAATTAATTCTCCCAGATGAGCTGTCTGCAGGTGGTGGAGGGAGGGAAGGAAGGATTCATCTCAAACCTGCCACACGGATCTTCACGGGGTGTGTTTGGAGAGGGGGAAAAAAAAGTATTTCCAAGGTATTTCCAAGATTTCCAGACCACCAAGGTCTGTGCAGGAGGATGTGAGTGCCAGGTCCCTGCCTGTGGCCTTCATCCTGTGGGCACTTCCATTCTTCCTGGATTAATGAGTATTATCATCCCCTGGAGTTAACGGGGATGAAGCAGAGTGTGGGAATGTGGGAGCAGCTCCCAGAGGGGACAGACAGACATAGGCTGCTCTGGGAGATCCCAGTCCCTCTGCCCTCTTCCCATTCAGGATAAGCTCCTTTGGAATGTAGGAAGTTTTAAAGTAATTATTTTAGGAAATGTTTTAGGGCTGGGTTTTAATTCTTTGGAAGAAGGAAAAACCAGGAGGTTTTTAATTTATTTGATTCCCACGGCATTCCTTCATTCAATGCCCAGCTTAGCAGGGTGCCTCTGGCACGAGCTGGGCACTGTTTCCTCATGGAAATCAGGATTTTATCCCAGGTCACAGCTCTGAGGGATTGCTGCTGCCTTGGGTTTGCCTTCCCATTTATTTTAGCTATTTATTCACCTCCATGTGGCACCACCTCGTGCTCCTTGTTTTCCCCCAGTGGGAATTTGGGCAGAGCCCGTGGCTTTGGGTGGCTCTGCAGCTTTGGTGACATTCCAGCATGGTGAAATTCCAGCAAATCTCCATGAAAAGGGACTCCTGGCTGCACCAACAAGCTTCCCTGCAATCTCCTCGTGCTGCTGAAGCTGAGAATTGTGGTCACACACAGGAGCACTGCCCTGGGAAGGATTGTCCAGCTGAGGGACCCACGTCCTGCTTGGAAAACAGTCCCAGGGTGGCTCAGCTGGGATCAGAGCTGCAGCAGAAGTGTTGATTTCCTTAAAAGATGGATTTTTCTTTTGGCTGGAATTAGGAGCATGACTCAGGCATCCTCTCCGGGCTGATCTTGTGGTCCCTGAAAGGAAAAGAGACTCAGGAGTGTGTTTTATTTTTAAAAGCAGTTTCTCTGATTCACTGAAGAGGAATGTGGGAAATCAGGAGTTCTGCAAACACATCTCCTGTGGAATTATGTACTGAGCAGGATTTTTTGGGTTCTGCTGTCGGTGCTGGAGGCCAGGATTTCCCCCTGGGAATGAGCTTGTGCTTCACCTTTGGGGATGCAGCGTGAAAAGATGGCAAGGATTTTGAGTATTTTCTTTTAAACCACTGAAATTTCCCATCCTGGGCTGACCCCGGGGATACCCCAGGAAAGCTGTTTGGTTTCCAGCTTTTTTGGAAAGTTTTTTCAGTAGCTTGGCAGCTCTCCTGTTAACTGTAGGGATTTTTCACCCCTTCCTCCAGTTTAATTCCAGCATGGGAGCCTGAATGTCTCCCAGACTTCCCCCGTTTGTGGAGAACTTCCCCTCCTGACATTTTCCACTATTTACCCCTTGCTCCGGGTGTCCTGCACACCACAACCAGAGCTTGAAACGATAGGAAAATGGGAATTGAATCCAAACCTGGAGCAAAAACTGATCCCTGGAGCTGCCCCCAGCTCCTGCTTTGATTAAATCCTTTTTTTTGGACAAAATCCCTTCAGCGAGGTGTGCGAGGGGGCACAAGCAGCCTTCCCAAAAAAAAGCACTTTGAGGTGGAATCCAGGCTGGGAATCCCCCAGGATGGCTCCCTGCACCCCTCCTTAGCCAGAGCTGTGTTTTCCTGCTGTGTTTTCCATTAAAGTTGGAAGGGAAAGCAGCAAAATTGACACAAAAACCTGTTTTAAAGGAACAAGCTGCACTCGTTTCCTCTCCCCTCAGCCAGACCAAAGCTCAGTATCCAAAATTCCCCCTGGGGAAGGTGGGAACAGAGGGAACAACGTCTCCTCCAGCCCAGATTTAAAGCTTTTCACCCCATTTTGGTGCCCTGTCCCCTTCCAATGACGTCAGTCCTGGGAGAGCTGAGGTGCATGACCAGAGAGGCTTTGGGGTGTCAGTGCTGGGGCTCTGAGAAATGGTTTATTTTTGGAATATTTTTGCTTATATTCTCAATAATTTTACATCTTTCAGTATTCAGAAAGATAAAATAAAGCGAAAATTAAATATAAGCCAAACCTTTTAATCTCAGGTGGTGAAGCGAACACGGAGATTAAAAGCAACTGCTTCTTTCCTGGATTATTCTCATCATGTACATAAATCCCTGGCTGGAAAATCGCTGGAATTGTAAATACCCCGCCTCCCGCGGCAGATTTTTTTTTTTTTTTTTTTTTGGGGGGGGCGGGACGGAAAGCGGAATTTCAACTTTTTTTGGAAATATGGCAGAGAACACGTTTATTTACAATCAAATAAAGCCCTTTGGTACAAAGCGCTGCGTGCTCCGTGCTGGGGGCGGCCCCGGGGCCGTCCCCGCCATGCTTGATTCTCCCGCCACAATGACATCACCGAGACGTCACCCCCGCGCCGCGCGCTGATTGGTTGAACTCGCCGCTCCCGGAAGGGACCGGAGGGGCGGGGGACGCCCCCCCCCCCATCCCGGGACCCCCCGATCCCCGCAGCCCCCCGGACACCGGGGGAGGATCCCGGGGGTCCCGCGGCCCCGGGGCAGCGGGGAGGGGGCGGCAGGACCCCGCGGCGGCGCGATGGGGGCGGCGGCCTGCGGGGTAGGTGGGGGGGACCTCGCTCGCGTGTGCGTCCCCCCCTTTCCCGTCCCTTCGCCCTCCCCGCTCCGCCATCCTCGGGGCTCCCCTTCCTCGCGGTGCCCCCGGCTCCGGGACCCCCTCCCCTCGCCAGCCGCACCCCCTTTTCCTCCCGGGGGGCACCCCCGCTCTACCCAAACCCCCATTCCCCAACGCTGTGGCGCCCCCCTCCCCTCCCTCTCCCCTGTCCTGCTCCCATCCCTCTCCTTTCCTCACCCCCTTTTTCCCCGCTCGCGTTGCTGGCAGGTGCGGAGTGTTTTTGTTTTGGGTCGAAGTTGAGGCCAGAGCGAACGCGGCGGCGGCGCCGGGCGGAGGCCGCGCTCCGGCAGCCCCGAACGCCGCGGGCCGGCCCCGCCATGCGCAGGGAGATGAACGGGGTCACTAAGAGCCGCTTTGAGGTGAGGCCCCGGCCGGTCCCGCCGCGGGAGGCCCGGCCCGGCCCGGCCCGGCCTGGCTTCTCCCCTCCACCCCCCATTTTTGGGGGGATGTTGTGTCGGAGGGTGTAATCTCCCGTGCAGGGGTCTGTGCATGGGGCTGGGGTGACTTTGGGGATGTGGAGAGGCTCAGGGTTGTGCCCCCACGTTTGGGGTGACATTTCTCCCCTCCAGCCCCATTTTTGGGGGGATGTTCTGTCGGAGGGTGTAATCTCCCGCGGGGTGGTCTGCGAATGGGGCTGGGGGTGATTTTGGGGATGTGGAGAAGCTCGGGGCTGTGCCCCCCGGGTTTGGGGTGCTGGTGTTAAACTCCCCCCCGCCCCGTTTTTGGGGGTCCCGTGGGGGGCTCGCTGTGACTGAGGCTGGGGAGGGTCTGTGGGCGTGGGGGGGGCTCAGGCCTGGCCTCCCGGATTTGGGGGGCGTTGGTTGAAACCTCTTTTCCCCCCATCCCTTTTGAGGAAAGAATTCCCCCGTCTGATCCCAGCTCTAGGGGGGCTCTGCTATGAACGGGGCTGGGGAGGATTTGGGGGTCCCCCTCTCTGTTACAAATCCCCGGGGGGCTTTGGGGGGCTCGCAGCTGCTGCCAACGTGTTGCTGCGGCTTCGAGAGCCGCCGATGGAGCAGGAGATGGGAATCGCGCCTGGAAAACACCCCAGCCTTTGGGGAGCGGGGCTGGGGGGGAAAAGGAGCCCCCAGCCTCGCTTTTTTTATTTTTGGGGCTGTAGAAGGGAAACAAAAATTTGCTTACGGGGAGGTGGGGGATGGAGAGGACGGAAGGAGAGGAGGGTAAACAATGAGATCTATTCAAAGGCCGTGGCACAAAGCGGAGCGTGGAGCCGGGGCCGTTCCAGCCGCATTGTTGTCCCAGCTGTCTTCCCGTGGGAGGAGGAGGAGGGGGCAGGGAGGAAGGGCAGCGGCGGGATTTACTTCCCATCGCTGCGAGACCATGGAAATCCCTGCTCGCTGCTTCTCCGCGCTGCCCGGCCCGTGTGGGGGACAAAAAAAGAGCCTGGAATGGTAAAGCTGTGCCTGGAGGAGAGGGGTGGGATGGGGAGGCAGGGAAAATGCTGGTTGGTGGTAAACTGGGGAGGCTCTGCCTGCCCAAATTTTTTAATTTTTTTTTTTTTCCCCCCTGAAACATTTTTTTTTTTTTTCAATTTATTTTGCACTGCTGCAGAGTGTTGGGGACAAAAAAGAGCCTGGAATGGTAAAGCCATGGCTGGAGGAGAGGGGTGGAATGGCAAGGCAGGGAAAATGCTGGTTGGTGGTAAACTGGGGAGGCTCTGGTTCCTCAGAGCTCCCTGGGGGATTCCTGGAGCTGAGAAAGGTGCAGGAAATGCTGGTGGTCCCACACTGCCCGTGGGATTGTTTTCTTCCTCTGTCAGATCAGTGTGAGTTTGGGCTGGGCTCAGGTGTTTTAAGTGTAATATTTGTGTTTCTGTAGCATGCAGTGCTAAAAGCACTGGGCTCACCTGGGAACTCCAGAGAGCCCTGTGCTACCCAGGGTTATTGCATTTACTGTTCTGGGCTCTTCTTGCCTGCACAGATATTTTAATTTATTTATTTTCACCCCTGAGCGCTTTGTTATTTATTTTGTACTGCTGCAGAGTGGCTGGATACAGAGTAAAAGCAGGTTGGTGACAGATTTTGGGGGGAATATCTCACAGGGCATCAGCATCCTTTGCTTCCTCAGCCTCTGTCTCTCAGTGCTGGAGTTCATTCCAGTTTTGGGAGGGTTTTTTGTCAGGGTTGCACCAGGACACGATGAACCCAATTCATTGGGGAAAAAGAGTGGGGAAGAGCTTTGTTTGGCCTCTTTTGGGTGGGGTTTTTTTCTTTGCTGGAATGTTATTTTCTTCTCATAGTAAAAAACAGACAAGTTGGAAAACAAGCAAAATGCTCGAGGAGCCTTTGAGGCCTAAAATTAATTTTTAAAACCTATATTTATACAGGAAGAGTTGGTGTGTTATAGAAAGGTTTATTTTGAGCTGCAAGAAGTGCCTTTAAACATCATCCTGGTTCTTGGCTGTCTTGGTTGCTGTGTTCTGTGGCTGCCCCATCCCTGGAAGTGCCCAGAGCCAGGTTGGAGAGGGACAATCTGGGACAGTGGGAGATGTCCCTGCCCATGGCACTGGATGAGCTGAAGGTCCATTCCAGGATTATAAATCCTTCATTTCCCCAGCATGGATTATCTCTGACCCGCTCACCTGGATAATCTGGAAAGTTTTAGAGCTGTTTTCCTTTAAATTTGTGATTTTTACGTCGGTCAGAAGAGTTTCCACAATGCGTGTTCACACTTAGATTTATTTTCCAGAGAGGCAGAATGGGTGGAAATTCCTCTGTGCTTCCTAGAAACCAGTTTGTGATGGCTGTGCTTTGCAAGAAAGGTCTGTGAGAGTTCACATTTCATGGGACAGGGGGAAAATTGGGCAGAAATGTCTGGAGACTGAGAGCTGCTCTTCAGAGCTGTGGAATATTGTGAGGTCATGAAGGCAGTGGGTGTTTGGTTCTCCTCTTCCTCCTCCTCTTCCTCCTCACCTACCTGTAAAACAGTTTCCCTGGCTGAGCAGGGGGAAGGAGGGCCTTTGAGTCTGGAATGTTATTTTGGGGTAAAACCAGCCCGATCTGGGGCTGTGACTAACACATTGTGACTGTTTCAGACTTGGGAATAACGGGGGCATTGCAGAGGGGGAGCTGCCTTGGCTTTGCACTTGGTTTATTGTCTTTTTGTGGAGCCACGTAAACAGATTCCTGAGCCATTGTTGTTGGGTAATTCACAAATCCAGTCGTGAGGGGGGCTGATAATAATAATAATAATGATAATAATTCTGTACTGTAGGAATAAAATATGGGCAAAGCTCCTTAAATTGGACTTGCACGTGGGTTTCTGATTCCAGGAAGAGTGGAATTCTCTTTTTCCTGGGAATGCCATGGAGCATATTGGGATTAGTCCCTTTACAGGAGGTGTGGCCACCACAGAGAAAATCACCACTTACTGCAGCAAAGCAAACAAAAAGGGAAAACATTACCCAGATTGACTCGGTTTCACGTGGAACATGCCCCGACAGATCCCAATCCATGCTTATATTTGGGATTTCTCTGCTTCCTGCCTGATGAAGAGCAACCAAATAACAGCAGAAAGGAGAGGAGGCATCTCCTGGTGCTTCTGAGTGGTTCCTGATGCTCTGGGAGGATTCATCCACCAAGGCCCAGGTTCTCTTGTCCTCCTGTGCCCTAGGATGTCACCTGCAGCTGTCCTGAGTTTCTCTCAGCCACCTTATCAGGATGAAGTCATTCCAGTTGTTGTTTTTTCTTCCTCTGACTGTGAACCATCCGTGTAGTCTCCTCTACATCCTCCAAAACCATCAGCACATGAAAACCTCCATCCTTTCCAGCTTCCTCTGGGAGCCTCCAAAGCCTGCTCCTGGCTGTGAAGTGTGTCTGTCCGTGGGGCAGTTTGTCCTGGTAGAAATGACATTTTGGTAACTCCAGGGGTGTCTCTGAGGAATGAGAGTCTGTGGTGAGCCTTGTGAGCACCTTCAGCCTGAGAAATGCATCAGTCCATGGAATTCCTGTGCTGGATTCAGGGTCCTCACTGTGGGGAATTCTGACCCTTCTGAACCTCTGTGGTTCCCAGCTCCTGTTCAGCTGCAGAAATGTGAAATGAGCTAAGCTGGATGCAAAATGGGAAACTTCAAACGCTCCAAAATCGAGCTGCCTTCTAATAATTAATCCTGTCTGTGCTCAGAAATTGAATAATCTCACTGACCCTAATCCCATTTGGGAATCTGCTGCGTTTCTGCCTCTGAAATGCTGTTGCTGTATTTCCAGGGGTTTTGGCTCTTTAGGGCTGATCCTTCTGGGGTTGTCCCTGCTCCCTTTCCTGGGCTGCTCCTCGTGCTCCTGGCTGGGCCTTTGCTGTTCCAAGGAATGGAGGTTGTGCAAACAGAGGGAGACAAACAGAGCAGGGAGCAGGGAAAACTTTGCTCTGACTCTCCTTGCAAAAACTGATGTAACACCATGGAATCTGATTTTATATGGGAAGAGAAACTGTTGGTGACATAACCCAGGAACACCTGAGGTGGCACAGCTGAAACAGGTGTTTTTTGGAATGTATCTACCAATGTGGCTCATAGATAATGAAAAAAAACCTGTAAAAAATAAAGATTTTGGGAGAGGGTGTCCAAGCTGATGGATTTTCCATATTCCTGTTCACTCCTCCACCCTCGTTTATTTTTAATTTGGGTGTCGTGCCACATCACACGTAACACTTTTTAAACCAGGGCTTCATTTGGGCAGGTGAATAATAACAAACTGTTCATTTATTTGGTCCAAAGTGGTGGTTGAAACGATGAATAGGAAGAGATGTAAACCACGAGTTGTGTTTCACACCCCCACTGTGCTGCTGCTGGTGCCTGAGTAGAGGGAAGAGGGATTTGGGGAGATTTGGGGCAAAAATGAGTTGTGAAAAGGGGCTTGGCCCAGGGAGACTGGAGGGTCCAGCAGGAAAATGGCTTTTGGCCTCAGCCTGTGTGGCACAAGAGGCAGCTCTGGTGTCCCAAATTTTATTGCTATTTTTGCCCCAAATGGGATTCACTTCCTTCTCCCTGTGGCAGGGGTTGGGTGACAATGGGGATGTTGGCCCTGGCCAAGTGTTTTTACAGAATCCCAGCATATTTTGGGTTGGAATGGCCTTAAAGCTCATCCACTTCCACCCCCCACCAGGGGCACATGACTTTTTCCATTTTAAGGAAAAAGGAGAGGGTTTTAAACTAAAAGAAGAAAGATTTGGATACTGGGAAGAAATTCCTCCCTGGGAGGGTGGTGAGACCCTGGCACAGATTCCCAGAGCAGCTGTGGCTGCCCCTGGATCCCTGGCAGTGCCCAGGGCCGGGCTGGGCAGGGCCCTGGGACAGTGGGGGTGTGACAGGGGTGGCACTGGCTGATCTTTAAGGTTCCCCCAGCCCAAACCATTCCATGATTCCATGTCTGACTCCACTGAGGGGTTTTCTGGGGTGACCTCACTGGAAGCTGCTGGGTGGAGCAGCTCCCCCAAGGGACATTTTGGGGATCCCAGGTGGCCCTGGGGACAGGGGCTGTGCGTGGCAGGAGAGGGACTCAGGGCTGGCACCCAGGGCACATCCCATTTCTCTGGGACACCATCGTTAATTGGGGCCTGGGACACTGCAGTAATTACTGTTTTCGCTGGCTGGGAGCTTCCTTTGAGTCACACCGTTGGGAAAGTCAGCCCTGGGAGGGTTTTATCCTCCTTGATCCGGAGTGAAACCTGGATCTGCACGGCCCTGGGGAGGAGCCAGCCTCCCCTTCTTGGGGTTTGGGCATCCCTGCCTGATCCCACAGCTCTCCTTTGGGACAAAACCCCTCCATGCCCTCACACCTTGGTTCTTTTATTTAAGTCACCTTCATTTGACTTTATTTCTCAATATTTATGCCAATGATCCCAGCAGCTTCTTACATAATAGCTGGATACAAACCCAGCAGTAAAAAACCACCTTATTACCAATAATAATAATAGTAATAATGATAATATTACCAGTAATAATAACAGAATTGCAGGTGTTGGGGAGGGGCAGAACTGTAATTTATCAAAGCAGCTTATTTGAACTGTGATGAGCCTCAGAGAGCTGGGTTAATCTTGGGTTTAGGCTGAAAATACTGAATCATGTCTCACTTTTTGGGTTTGATTTTTTTTTTAATCCATTCTAAGTGTATTTGTAGTAAATTGTTGCCCTGCTAAAAAGAGCTTCTAAAAAAATAGAAATAAATGCTGGTGGTGGGTGTTTTATGGCCAGGGCCTGTGCCACAGGCTGGCCTGGGCAAGCCAGGAAGTCTTTGTCTTATTTATACTCTTCCTTTTTTGGGTCTGGATGCTGTTCTTATGGGCAGAGCTCTATATTTAAAACCTTGGCAGGTGTGGGTGAGAAAGCAGCACCATTTTCCACCAGAAATCTCTGCTGGGCCACCTCAGGTGTCACCTGTGGGGCGCTGGCCTGGCGCAGCCCTGGCAGCAGGAGTGGCTTGGTGCTGCCCAGCCCTTTCCCTGGCTCTGTGTGACGTTGGGGAGGTGTTTTCTCATCCAGCTCCGGGTCCAGCTGGTGGGGAATGAAAGCTGATTAAGTGTGAGCTGGTGCCCCCCTGAGCTGTGCCCAGCTCCTGCCAGGGCCAGCCGGGAGGAGCCGCTCGGATGCCGCCGGTGCCCGTCGGGTAACTGGGGGCTGGGGGGGCTGGAATTGGGATTTTCACTGGGCACAGGGAGGGGTTTGGGGTGGTTTGGGATGAGAACTGTCTGGCAGGCAGGATTGTGGCAGGAGAACAAAACAGGGGCACAAAAGGAGGCTGAATGTACCTGGCAGCAGATTCTGGACAGGTTCCCTTCAGTGGCAGCTGAAATGGGAGTTGTGTTTCACACCCCCACTGTGGTGCTGCTGCTGTGGCCTGAGCAGAGGGATTTGGGGAGATTTGGAAGCAAAAATCACTGGGGGCTTGACCCAGGGAGACTGGGGGGGTCCACCAGGAAAATGGCTTTTGGCCTCAGCCTGCGTGACCCGAGAGGCAGCGCTGGTGTCCCAGATTTTTATTGCTGTTTTTGCCCCAAATAGGATTCACTTCCTCCTTCTCCCTCAGCCAGGAGTTGTGTGAATGGGTTGGGTGACAATGTTGGCCCTGGCCAAGTGTTTTTACAGAATCCCAGCATGTTTTGGGTCGGGGTTTTGGTATCTCACCTGTGCCTGTGGAGTTCTCCTTTCTGGAAGCAGCACGACCTCATCCCTTTGCCCATCCAGCACTGAGAGATTTCCCTCCAGGGGAAGAGCTCCATTCCTGTAGGGTTTCACTGAGGTCTGGATCAAAAAAACCTCCAAAAATGCCCTTTATTTCATGTGTCCCAAATGCAGGCTGGGCTCAGGTAGCTCCTCCATCCCAGCAGGAATTTCAACTTTCCCCACCAAGCAGCGATGTGACAGTGCCCATCCAGCCCCCTGCCTCTCCAGCTATTTTTAGGAATATTAAGCCTGTAATAAGCCCTTTTGGCCTGGGTTTATTTCTGTTTGTCCTGCTTAGTCAGGATTTTGCCTGAGCAGAGCTCTGGTTGGGAGCCAGAGGGGTGAGCGTGGCCGGGGCAGGAGGGCAGTGCCCACGTTCCCATCCCTCCTGATGCTGGCAGAGCATCCCAGCAGCCACACCAGAGCCTGGCACAGCCTGGCCTCCTCCAGCAGCCAGCCATTTCCTTGGAGACTCCATGCAGATTAAACTGGATGGGTTTTTAAATAAAATTCCCTGTGTAACTACAGGCTGCAGGGAAAATTCCCTCGGTTGGAGCTGCTTGTGCATGTAAACAACTTCATTCTTTGGATGGCGTCCTCTGAGGAGCCCTTGCATTTCTCTGTCACTTCACTGTGACTTATCTCTGCAGTGGAATATTTTTTTTGCCTCCAGGAAGGCAGCTCAGCCTGCTCCAGCTGCTGCTTCCTGAAATCTTGTCCTGGGAAGGGAGCTGATGTCTCTCGTGTCTCTGTTATTTGAGCTTTGTCACAGCGCTGGAATTTGTTCCCCAAACGAGCAGAACTCGAGGCAAGGTGTCAGTACATATTGACCATGGTTGTAAGAAGTTGTCTCAGAGCTTCACTGAGCTTTTCCAAAGAAAATGCTGAGTGAATTCCACATTTTTGCTGTTGTTTTGTGGTTCGTGCTCAGCTGGTTTCGCTGGGTTGGAGTTGTGGGTGAGGTTTGCTGTGACTCCTGTCTTGTGTCAGTGACTGTACTGGGATTGTTCATCTCCATGTGGACCATGACAGATAAAATTGGTACAAATTCTACCAGAAATCCTGGAATTTGGGCTGGGAGCCAGCAGCCTTACAGCTGGAGAAACCTCCCAGTGCCTCTCAGAGTCAGGGTTTAAACTCTGAACTGATTCACACAGAGCTTTCAGAACAGAAAAGACTTTTGGAGCTCACAAGGTTCATCTCCAAAGTGTCTTGATACAGAACTGGGTGGGCTGTAAACTCCAGAATATTCAAGCTATGGATGTAATCTTTAATTTCTGCCATCAGTGGTTGATTCCCCACATTTCTCAACCTAAAACCCATTTCCAGAGCACATTATTTGCTCTCTAATAATTAATAATTGCAGCCTGTTTTCTGGCTTGGTTTGAATTGCTTAATTTGCTGTGGTTATGTGCAGCTCTGCAGGGTCTGGCCAGCATTTCCTCGTGGATCAGGGCTCACAGAACCCTGGAATATCCTGAGTTAGAGGGGGCCCAGTGAGCTCCAGGCCTCACAGCAGCTGCAGTTTCATCATTACCCACAAGTTTGTCATTTCACACCGTTTCTGTCCCAAAAATAAACAAGTTGGGGCAGTTTAAAATCAAAATATTTACTAATATTTAATAGATTATGATTTTAAATTCTGCATTGTTTCTTTGCCATTAGCTTTGCTTAGCACAGAGACATGCAGCACTTTATGGCTTGTGTTTCTGGGAACGTTTCTGCCTTTTATTTCCTGCCCACCTCTGTGGGTGTCTTTTGGTTGGTTTTGTACAGAAAAATGGGTGTCACCTTGTCCCTTCCCCCCTGTGTGTCTCCCTCGTGTCCTTCCCCCTCTTGTTGTTGTGTTGGTGCTTCCCAGGCAGCCTCAGGCTCTCCAGAGGTGCCAGATCCAGGTTCTTTTTCCCCACATCAAGGTGGATAATTCTCCCTCTTGCTGTCACCACCCACCCAGGTGCCTCCTGTAACCTTGCAACCACTAATTCCCTAAAGCTCCGAATTATCTTCATCCCTTTTTCTCCACTGAGCTTTGAATTTTGTGCTTTCAGGTGTTTGGGTTCAGAGTGGGCTGACACCGTTGAAAATTCCATCAGGAGTTCCAGGGACAGGATGAGGGGAATGGCTTCAAACAGATAAAGCAGGGCTGGATTGGGTGCTGGGGAGGAATTCCTCCCTGTGAGGATTTTCCAGACATGGGATATGGGCTCACCCTCCCTGGCAGTGCCCAGGGCCAGGCTGGATGGGCTTGGAGCACCCTGGGGTGGTGGGAGCTGTCCCTGCCCACGGCAGGGGTGGCACTGAGTGGCCTTGAGGGTCCCTTCCCACCTGTGCTTCCACGAGCCAGGAGAGATCCAGGTGCTTCCATGGATTTTGGAGCTGTGGCACTGCCACCCCGGGTGAGTGGCAGCAGGAGTGGCACCGAGCTGAGTTTGTGCTGGAGCTGTGCCCCCACCCTGGCCCTGCTGCTGTTCTCATCCTGCTGGGCACATCCCCTGTGCAGGGACCCCAGCCTCTGCCAGCTGTGCCAGTGCAGGGTGACAGAGCCCTGCTGGCACCCTGCTGCTGCCCTGTGAGTGGGGAAATGAGGGACTCAGCCCTGCTGGCACTTTTTGGGTGTTCTGGAGGGCAGAGAAGAGTTTTTAAAGGAAATGGGCAATTGCACGTTGTGCTGAGTGTGAGGCTGTGGGAGCTCTGCCTTTTGGTCACTTTTGCCCATCTGGTTTCATCAACTTCCTTAATTCCACAGAGTTTCATGTCCTTGCTTGCTCTACCATTGTAACTTTTTCTGCTTTCAGGCTTGGCAGCTGCTGCTAGCTCTGAATTTTCAGTTCTTTTTAAGGCCTGCTTTTACAGCTTTCTGGAAATCTTCTTACCTTCAATATTTCCCACAACTTTTGCCCGTCTGTTTTCATAAATTTCCTTAATTCCATAGAATTTCAGTCTGGTTTGGCTTGGACCTTAAATGCCACCCAGTGCCACCCCTGCCATGGCAGGGACAGCTCCCACTGTGCCAGGCTGCTCCAAGCCCATCCAGCCTGGCCTTGGACATTTCCAGGGATCCAGGGGCAGCCCCAGCTGCTCTGGGAATTCCATCCCAGCCCCTCCCCACCCTCACAGGGAGGAATTCCTTCCAAAATCCCATGTGGCTTCACACAGCAGCACAGTTGCTCCTTGGTGGAGGATTCTGTGTTTTGTACAGAATTGAAAATTTCTATACAAGAAAAATGTGGTTTTTTGTGTCCTGTCCAGAATAATTTCTTCTTTTGGACAACACCTGGTAATAAAGAAGATAAAAGATGTTAGGGGAAGTGAAGTTGGGGCATTTGAAGCATTTTGAAAGGCTGGAAGTCTAGAATAGCCACTGACATTTTTTCAGAGCTTTATTTTTGTATGGACTTGCCAGAAGGTCCCCATGCCCGTGGTATATTTAGCTGTACGTGCTGCCATGACTTAGCAAAATCCCAATTCCAGCCTGTTTTCACCCAGCCTCTGCCATCTGAGCCTCAGCTTTGAAGGAAGGCTGGAGAAAACAGGTCTGGAGATGCATCCTGGCTCTTGCCAGCCTTCCAGGGACAGGGAATTCCAGAGCTGAGGTTCTCCCTGGAGCCCATCTCGCCTGGGCCCTGGCAGGGTTTAAGTCCAAGGACTATTTTTAGTGAGACAAAAAGCAAACATTCCTTTAGATTAGTGCTGGTCAAAGGGAAACTCCTGCAGAAAGCAGCCTGGGGATGGGATTTGTGCTGGGGCTGAGGTGAGGTTTTCCTCTGAGGGCTTTGGTGGGCACAGTTCTCTGTGATCAGGCCCAGGAGGCTCCTGGCTGCTCCTGGAGTCTCTGATTTAACCCTTCCTGCCCTTGTTCTGCTCTGGTTCCTTTTTGGAAGTCTGTTCCTGCTCTCTGATTGCTCTTTTAATTTCTCTGATCTTTTTTTTTTGGGAGGAGAGTCCTGATTCAAGGTCTGGACTGTGGTGGGAAAGGGTTTGGGTCTGTAACTGGGGGAAAAGGGATCACATCTCTTTTCCCCTTTAATAATTCTTCTGCATTTCTCCTCCATTAGAACTCCCTCCATGATTTCCTCCATCTCCTAACCAATCAACTCATCAATTTAATTAGCTCCTGTCCCAGATGTGCAGGTGCTGCTCTCCCAGCCTTGGGAATGTCTGTGCCCACCCCCTGTGGCTCCAGAGTCACCTGGAGATGGGAGGGAAGAGCCCTGGGAGCTGTGTGAGCTGGGAATGGCAAAAGCTCGTTTTAATTAGCAGCAAATTGGGCTGAGAGCTGCCAGTCTGGTTTCTGCTCAGGACTTGTGATGTTCCTGGTGGGAAGTGATAAAAGGGTCTGTGGGGGGAGCAACACTTCTGCTGGCTGGCATTTTGGGATGGAGGTTTGAGAGTTCCCACTTGAGCAGCGTGCTCTGGCATCTTGGGATAATTCAGATGAAACTGAGATTTGGGAGCACGGCCTTGGCTCTGAAATCCTGGGGTTTGCTGTTCTCTGGGGGTGAAGTGTTCCTCAATTCCCAGTTTTCCATCACCAAATGGAGCGTTTAAAGGGTCATTCAGTGGCAGCACTTTGGATTTTTACACTGGATTTCATGTTAAATTGTGGTGGGATTGGATCCCTGCTCAGGGACAGGATATTTGGGGTGTGATGGGATTGGATCCCTGCTCAGGGTCAGGATATTTGGGGTGTGATGGGATTGGATCCAGGATCAGGTTCAGGATATTTGGGGTGTGATGGGATTGGATCCAGGCTCAGGGTCAGGATATTTGGGGTGTGATGGGATTGGATCCATGCTCAGGGACAGGATATTTGGGGTGTGATGGATTTTCCTCATGGCAAGACAATACTAAATCTTACAACTGATTTTATTTAGGTTCTTGTCATGGGGCTTTGCTCTCTGTTTTCCTTGGGACTCCTTGAAAAAGAGATGTTTCTCTTAGAGTGTCTGAGATGCTTTTACCTGGTCCCAAAGTCCATTCCAGGTGCATCAGGTGTTGTCCCTGGATTTGGAGGGATCCAAGAACCAGCTCAGGCCTCAGTGCCTTGGCAGAGCACTGAGCTTTCCCAGCATTATCCCTCCTCCTGGTGCAGCACCAAAGATCTCAACTCCCTTTAAACCATTCTTGGTGGATTAAAATTCAGTGCTCTTTGTCCCAGAGCTCCTGAGGGCTGCGAGAACATTCTGGGGCACCTTTTCCCTCACAGAAACCAACCCTGCTGCAGCTGCACCTTCCACCTCTGTTTTATGGATATTTGGGCTGCTGGATCCTTCTTCCTCTCCCCTCCAGCCCCTTGGCCAGATGTTTGGTCTGCAAAATCTCCCAGTTTTGTTGTGTGTACCCCACAAAGTGCTGAGGGAGCCTCTCCAGTCAGTGCCAGCTCACAACCACATCCTAATTATCATTTACTTCACTGAACAGCTGCAAATCTCAGTTTATATTTCCTTTCCCAATCCTTGCACCATGTTCTAAAATATTTTGATATAATGCTCCATCCAGCTGTGGTCCAGAAACTGGAAAGCTGCAGCACAAAGTTTATCTGTTAGGAATTTCCTGGCCTCGTTAACCAACCACTGAGGTAAATCAGGGTTTGTTCTCTTGTTCTAAATTGTGCCATTTTTTGTGTTTGCAGATGTTCTCAAACAACGATGAAGCTGCAATCAACAAAAAACTGCCCAAAGAGCTGCTGCTTCGGTGAGTCCTCCCTGGACACCGGTGGGTTGTTGTTTGCATCCAGCATTTTGCTGCTGTGCTCCCAAAATCATGAGCTTGGATCAGGTCACTCATAAAGGCAGACCCAAAGAGAGGCAGGTCAAAGGTCTGTGTCAGCAGTTTGTGCTAAATGGGGTTCACTTTGGGGCTTTTAATGCTTTAATTGAAGTTTAAATGCTGGGGTGGTTTGCTGGTTGTCTGTTTGGTGAAAGGAGGAGTGAGGATCCTCTCCTTGATGCTCCTGGTGAGGATGGGCTGATGTGGAGAACAGGATTCTGCTTCTCTGAGGAGTTCAGTTGAAAGCAGAAGCGAATCCCTCTGCTCCAGTTAACTCCAGTGGACTTTGTCCTGTCCCTTGTCAGTAGGAGCCAGATGTTAGCTCTTGGCAGGATGGTCCTGTTGGCAAACACCAAACAGATCAGACTTGGTGGATTTTTAGGGTTTGAAAGTCCTTTAAGGTCTCTGTGGATAATTCTGCCCTGTGGGAAGCAGGAGGGCAGTGTGGGGGTGATTGTCCCTCATTTTGGGCTCTGGAAGTGGAGCTGAGTTTCAGTGCTAAGAGCTCAGGTGTTGGACTGGAAATTGGGAAAGCAGAGACAGGGGGAAGCTTGAATTATTAACAGCAACAACGTTCTGACACTGCAAAAAACTGGTTCTGTCAACACCCAGTGACAGTGAGGGCTGGGGAGGGGAGTGGGACCCAGGGAAGTGCTGCTGGAATGAAAGGAGCAGGGAAAAGGGGTGACTGTGTTTAATTTTCAGTTCATTTCCTCCCTGGAAAGGTGTTTCCCACCTGATTCAGTTGCTGTTTCCCACCTGATCCCATTTCTTTTATTCCAGTGTTCCTCACCCCAGAGCACAGTGTGTGGCTGCCAGGGTGGGTATTTGGGATTGGGGCCTGGGAAATGATTGTCCATGGGTGTGGAGATCCCTGGAGAACCAGAACCTGGGAATGAGGGGCACCTGAGGGAGGAGCAGGACGGAGTCCCAGCCTCCACAGGAGGACTTTGCACAGGGATTTGCTGCTGTGCTTGTCCTGAACCATGGCTGGGATGTGGAGCAACAAAAGAGTGGCAAAAAATTGTCTTTCTGAATTTTCTGAGATGATTTTCTGATGGGAGTAGATAAAACAAACCTGGGTTTTCTCCCTGTGCTGAGGTGACAAGACTGGGGTAGGTTGGGGACAGGTTGTGAAGAGCCCTGATGGGTGAGGCAGGGAGTCTGTGTGACACTGGGAGTGTGGGGAATAGGGAAGGGAGATGGAATGCAAATGGGATTTTGCATGGATTTCAGGGGAAGGAGAAGTGTGAGGGCATGGGGCTCCCAGGAGCAGAACCCTGCTTGGAGCTGGCTGAGGTTTCTGACAGATGGAAGTGGAATGATCCTGAGTGGAGCCAGCACTCCAATTCCCTGACTCCATGAACACTGCTGCACAGTTGGAGAGGGATTTGTGGTAGGAAGGAGGGAAAGTCCTGCATGGAGCAGGGAATTGCATCAGGACGAGCCCCAGTGTGGCTGTTCCCACACTCCTTCCCTCTGGAAATGTCTGTGCCTGTTGTGTCCTGCTGTCCCTGCTCATCCCAACCTGCTGCAGAGCAGGGAATTGTTCAGGATCTGGTGGAACCGAGGGGAAATCAGGAGTTGATAAATGTTTAAAGCTCATAAGTAATGGTTTGGAGAGCTGGAATTCACTGTTAGCATACTGTGAAAATTAATTACTGTGCATTGACAGTGCAGCCTTTGAAAGAGAGGCTTGGATGGGTTTTCTGCAGGGATCTCCTGTAAATGGGTGTCACTGTGTGCAGGACAAAGGCTGGTGTGTTTGGGCACTGCTCTGTGAAGTCCTGTCCCTGCTCTGGCCACTCTCAGACAGCCTCGGGGTCCCCTGTGTGTGCAGGGAAAGCTGCACTTGGGCAAAATAAAGAGGAGGAGGAGGATGTGAAAGGGGAGAACAGCAGCCTTTGTTATCCCTAAGGATACAGGGATGGAGCAGGAGGGCTGAGGACATGGCCCTGTCCCCTGTCTGGGCAGCAGGGACATCCTGTCCTGCCCCACCTGCAGTGGGGACATTGTCCTGGGTGTCCAGAGGGTGGGGAGGTCACAGAATCCCGGGATGGTTTGGCTTGGAAGGGACTTTGGGGATTGTCTGGTTCCACCTGCCATGGCAGGGACACCTCCCACTGTGCCAGGCTGCTCCCAGCCCTGCCCAGCCTGGCCTTGGGCACTGCCAGGGATCCAGGGGCAGCCCCAGCAGGTGGTGACCAGTCCATGTCCTGGCACTGCTGCACCTGCTCAGCTCTGTCCCCTGCCAGCTGAGGGGACACCTCTGGAGGTGGCTGGACCTTCACACAGCCAGCAATGAGGCAGAGCAGCAAAAAGCAGAATTCCCTGCCCTGCTCCCTCCTTCCCTGGCTGCCCCAGCTCCTCGCTGGGCAGTGCCTGCCTCGGTGACTCCCAGAGGTCCCTGTTGGCTCCAGCTGTGGTTGTGTCCCCACAGGGACATCCTGTCCCCTTTTCCCTGCATTCCCACTGCTGTTGGAGAGCTGCTTTCCTTCCCTGAGCCTGGATTTGCTGGCAGAGGTGCTCCCTGGTGCCCTCCTGAAGGAGCTGGCACTCCCAGTGCTGCGATGGAGCCATGATATCTTATAAAAAATCCTCTGCTAGGATTTTTCCTGTCCAGAGGAGCTGAGAGCCTCAGGAAAGAAATGTCAACAATAACTGTGTGCTGCTGTGGAATGCAACAGGTTCACCTTCCATTAGTCCATGTGGATTATTTTCAATTAGTGACCAATCACAGCCCCCTGTGCCGAGGCTGTGAGCAGTCACAGGATTTTGTTATTGATTCCTATTCTATTCTTGTCTTGGTAGCCTTCTGATCTTCTTCTCTCTGTTCTTTTAGTATAGTTTTAATGTAGTATTTCAATATAATATATAACATAATAAATTAGCCTTTTGATAAAAACAGAGTCAAGCCTCATGTCCTCACACAAGCTTAAACAAGACTGCCCAGCTCCTGCGTGGCCCCAGCAGGATCCACTGCAGGAATTCAGGAATTCTGCTGGGTCACAGGCAGGTCAGGCACTCTGCAGCTCTCCCCTGGCCCAAGCAGCTTTGACTCCTTGCTGTGCCCGCCCAGCCCATGCCCAGGCCTGGCACTGCCGTGCCCGCTGCTGATTTATCCCTGGCGAGCTGCACTTGTGCCCGTGGGCAGCGCTGAGCTGGCAGCAGAGCTGGCATGTCTGTCCCCCAGCCCATGGCAGCAGGGCTGCACTGGGATTGAACTGGGCTTGAACTGGGATGGTGGGGCACAAATTGGTGTGGATAATTTTAGAAGGCTGAAGGTCTAAGCTGGCTCACCTCGGAGCCTGCAGCAGGCAGGGATTTCATGGCAGTCTTGACCCTAATCTAATTAGAGCAGCAGGGGGAAAGTGAGGAGTCCTAGAAACCCCTGAGTGGATTAAGAGGTTGAAACCTGAAAATTGCTCCAAGTGAGTGTGTTTTACCCAAATTGTGCAGAGCTGAGCTGTTCAGACAAAATCAAACACGTAGGGAGTCCCTTTGCAGTGAGACAATTTAATCTGCTGCAATTCCAGATTTAATTCCTGTTTGGGAAGCTCAGTCTGCCTTCGTCTGTGAGCAGTGTTTGATGATAAAGTTAATTTTGTGGATTATTTTCTCCACTGTGGACTCTGAAGAATAAAAAGACCAATGTAAAAGGGCTCACCAGGACAGGAATCCTGTTTGGGTGGAAAAATAAATGTTCCAGCACGGTGCCTTTGGGCCTGTTAATGCAGAATTGGAAAAAAATAATTCAAGTAGGGCTGATCAACCTTCTGCTGCAGCTCAGTCGCTGCTTATCTGTGGGGTTTGGGGTATTTTAGTGTTGTCCAGGAGTTCCTTGGAGAGGGAAAATCCCATCCTCAGGGCTGCAGGGGAATTCTCAGCTGGGGTCGTGGTGCCTGTTGCTCTTCCTGGTCCGTGGGAAGCACCTGGATCCAGCTCTGAAATTATGAAAATCCACAACCAAGGAGTGCCTGCTGTGAAAAACAAATCCTTTTTGCAGCCTGATTTTGCTGAATCACTGACTCAGGGTCTTGGACACGTGCAGGAGGAGCTGAGGGAGCACTGGGAAAGTCCCTGGAGCTCCTCAGAGCTGGGGAAGGCAGAGGGTGAGGGTTTGGCCAGGGGGAATCCCTGTTCATGTGTGGGGAGGAGAATTTATCCCAAATCTCCCAGCCCTGAGAGAGGGATGAGGTGATCATTAACAGTCTGGGATTCCCATGGAGTAGGGAATTTTAATGAAAATAGAGACAACTTCCATAGTGAGTGACCCACAGAGTTTGCAGTTTTATTTTCTCCTATGACAGGAATTTGAAAATAAGAATTTTCCCCAACTTCTCTCATTCCCCTGCCTTTCCTGGTGTTGTAGTGCATGGACATGGTGCTGAATAAACCCTATAAATGACACCAATAAATGACTTTGGGCTCAGGGGGAGCCTTGTCTGTAGGCAGGGAGGATGGAACTGCTCTGAAATGCAGAATTTGGGATTTCTGACAGCGTTAAAGTGCTCTGGGCTCTTCTGCAGAGCTTTTCCCCGGCACATCACTGTCAGATTTGTCTCTTGGGAAGATCAGAAGTGCCTTGAACCCCTTGGATCTTAACCCCTTAACTCCTTGGATCCATGGGAAGTGCATGAGCACAGGAGGGAGTGCTCATCCTGATTTAGCTGGGTGCTGCTGTGATACCTTTAGCATCAGTGTTCTGATGAATAATCTGCATTTACCCTCCATCAGGAACACCTTTCCCCCCAGTATTGGTGTTTCTGAAGGGCTTTTTCCATCCCTGCTTCTCAGGATGCTTGTGGCTGACATTTGCCTTCTCTTTCGGGTGGCCTTCAAGTTAAAAATATTAAATTAAAATATGAAAGCACATTGTGGTTGAACTCTTGTATTATCTTTGCAAAAACTCCAGTTTTAGAATTGTTCCCAAAGGGAGCAAGACCTTGATGTCCTCCTGCCCTCCACTTGACCTCATCTGTTTTGGGACACAATTGTTTGAAGAACCATAAAGCACCAAATGACCCTGAAATCCCATTGAATTGGAGATATTATTGGTGATATTATTGATGATATTATTGATGATATTATTGATGGCCTGGTGCAGACTGGGAGCTTCCCTGGGCTGGGTGCTTCCTGCACCCACAGCTGGGGGGTGGTGTGATCCCAGGGCAGTCCTGGCAGTGCCAGCTGTGCCATTCCTTTATCCCAACAACAGCCAGCAGTCCTGGGGTGTGCCCTGGGGTGTGCCCTGGCCCTGGGTGCCACCCAGGAGTGACCACAGTGCCACTGTCCCTCCTGGCCGAGCACATCTGCCTCTGCCAGTCGTGGGAGTGCAGAATCCTGGGCTGGTTTGGGCTGGAAGGGACCTTGAAGCCCATCCACTGCCAGCCCTGCCACTGCCCCGGGTGGCTCCGAGCCCTGGGACACTTCAGGGATCATGGGGCAGTGATGGGGGCTGGCACTGCCCACAGTGAGGGATGGCACTGCCCTGATCCTGGAGCGGTAATGAGGGATGGCACTGCCCACACTGAGGGATGGCACTGCCCTGACCCTGGAGCTGGTAATGAGGGATGGCACTGCCCTTTTCCTGGAGCTGGTGATGAGGAATGGCACTGCCCACACTGAGGGATGGCACTGCGCACTTTTGGGAGCTGGTAATGAGGGATGGCACTGCCCTTTTCCTGGAGCTGGTGATGAGGAATGGCACTGCCCACACTGAGGGATGGCACTGCGCACTTTTGGGAGCTGGTAATGAGGGATGGCACTGCCCTTTTCCTGGAGCTGGTGATGAGGAATGGCACTGCCCACACTGAGGGATGGCACTGCGCACTTTTGGGAGCTGGTAATGAGGGATGGCACTGCCCACACTGAGGGATGGCACTGCGCACTTTTGGGAGCTGGTAATGAGGGATGGCACTGCCCACAGTGAGGGATGGCACTGCCCTGACCCTGGAGCTGGTAATGGGGGATGGCACTGCCCACTTTCGGGAGCTGGTGATGGGGGCTGGCACTGCCCACAGTGAGGAATGGCACTGCCCTGATGCTGGAGCTGGAAATGAGGGATGGCACTGCCCTTTTCCTGGAGCTGGTGATGAGGAATGGCACTGCCCACACTGAGGGATGGCACTGCCCATTTCTGGGAGCTGATAATGAGGATTGCATTGCCCATTCCTTGGAGCTGGTAATGAGGGATGGGACTGCCCATTTCTGGGAGGTTGTAGTGAGAGATGACTGAGGGATGGCACTGCCCACTTCTGGGAGCTGGTAATGAGGGTTGGCACTGCCCTGATTCTGGAGCTGTTAATGAGGGATGGCGCTGCCCTGTTCCTGGATTTGGTAGTGAGGAGTGGCACTGCCCACAATGAGAGATGGCAGTGCCCTTTTCCTGGAGTTGGTAACGAGGAATGGCACTGCCCACTCTTAGGAGTTGGTAATGAGGGATGGCACTGCCCATTTCTGGGAGCTGGTGATGGGGGCTGGCACTGCCCACAGTGAGGAATTGCACTGCCCTGATCCTGGAGCTGGAAATGAGGGATGGCACTGCCCACTTCTGGGAGCTAGTGATGGGGGATGGCACTGCCCACAGTGAGGAATGGCACTGCCCACTTCTGGGAGCTGTTGCCGAAGGTGTGGAGTGTTAATTCACTCGTGTGCAGAGCCAGCCCAGCTCCCTGCTGGTCCTGGCTCACTGTGGGGCCATGTAGGGTGAGCAGTCACTGATTGGGGTCAGGACCCCTCCAAGGTGTGAGCTTGCTGTTCCCAGTGGCTCCATGGCCGTGTTTTGTTTCCATTTGGGAACTGCTGCCTCTGCACTTCCTTTCACAGCTCAGCTTTCAGCCAAAGCACAAAGAAGTTTTGCTGTCCCAGTCCTTTTTTTTTTCCCCTCCCCCCTTATTTTCCCTGTCCCCTTTTGTTTTAAATGTCAATAACCTATAAGGTATCTCTTATTTCTGTTCCAGAATTTTCTCTTTCCTGGATGTGGTCACTCTGTGTCGTTGTGCTCAAGTTTCCAGGGTAAGAACCTTCCTCCTTCCTGGTGGATTTTGGCAGGGGATTGAATTTGGGTGACAATCCTCCCTCCCCAGGGAGCTTTGTGCCACTCAGCTGGGGTTATTTGGTGTCCCCTGGAAGTCCTGGAAAATTCCCATAGGCAGAGAAGGGGAATTCTGAGCTGGAGTAGCATTTTCCAGTGTCCCAGGTACAAAGGGGACAGGGCTGATGTTTTGCCCAGAACTCTCCCCTCATTCTGGGTTTTACATTCTGCTGAAATCCCCAACATGGGATGAGCCCAGAATGGCATCCTGTGGGTTTTGGTGGAAATCATCATTCCCAGAGATGCTGCACACTCAATGAAAGTTCATTTTCTCCTTGGATGTAGTTGGAATAAGCACGGAAACAAAGTGAGGGGTTGTTCTTATCCTTCATGGGCTTCAGTTAATGAAACCCAACTTGGATTATTTGCTTGGGTGAATTCCTGCAGCTGGACTGGAAAGTTCTGGAGCTGCCAGATTTATTCAGGTGCTTTTTGCTGCCAGTGTCTGGTAACTCCCAGGGGAAGCAGCACAGCCAGGGCAGGGTGGTGACCCAGGGAAGGGGTTGGAGTGATGTGTTCACCATCCTGGCTGGGTGACAAACCCATCAGTCAACCTCACAAACCTCAACCACGACTGATTTCATTACTCTGAGCACATTGGAATTAAAAAAAAAAACTGATTAAACATTATTAATTGCATTAAAAATGACCCTGTGTGGTGTCTGGGCATCACAGTTGTCACCTGAACAACGCAGGTTGTGCAGGGAAAGGCTCCCAGCTGAAATCCAGCAGGGCAGTGCTGGCCAGAATGGGCTCTCAGGGATTCTTTGCCAATGTCAGGGTGTTCTCCTGGCCTGTCCCAGCTCCTGTTCCGTGGCACAGCACGGGCAGTTCCTGCAGGGATGTGCAGGAAGGTTCTGGAACGTTCCCTGCACTGCCCATGGAATTATGCAGCCACTGGGGCGTTTCCCACTGCTTTTCTCCAGACCTTAAAACAAAACCAGCAGTGAGGTTTAAACCCCAAAAACTCAATGAATGCTCAGTTCATTAATCTGTTGTAACTCTGCACTGACTCCTGCCCAAGAGCTGCTGCTGGTGCTGGGGAGGAGCTCGGTGCAGGTGGGATTTGGGATGGAAAATCCCCCTGTGTTCACCCCTGGCTCCTGCACTGTGCTGCCTCCTTATTACAAGATCCCCTTGTTCACCCTGATGATGAAACTGCAACTTTAAATTCAGCTCTGTGCTCCCCACCTGGCTGAGCCAGCTCTGAGTTCCTGCCCCTCCTTTGGAGCAGGAACCACAGGGATTTTGGTGATTAAACAAAACCCAAACCCTTTGGCACTGCAGCTCTGGGGTCCCCTGGGGGACTCACTGTGCCCAGGTGTCCTCTGAGGTGCTGGGGAGGGAATTCCAGCCAGGAATGTGAAAATGCCAGAGCTGCTGGCTCCCACCTGCACCTCCCAAGGGGGTGGAAGCAGCCAGGGCACCTCTTCCCTGGCTGAGGACTCAGAATTCTGAGTTTTGAGGGCACCAAGCTCCCTGCCAGTGCTGCTGGTGCCTGCTCTGTTCTCCCTGCTGGCTGCAATTTCCTCTTGCTTCCTCACCTGGGACAAAATGTTGTTTCTCAAAGGAACAAACTGTGATCCCCACTGACCTTTTATTTATTTTTTTTTTATATTAACCACACATTTCCATTTTTTCCCCTGATAAAGGCATGGAATGTTCTGGCCCTGGATGGCAGTAACTGGCAGCGAATTGACCTGTTTGATTTCCAGAGGGATATTGAGGTATAATTAAGTGACATACAAACCTATTTTTTCTTGTTCAAATGTAATTACAGCCTAGAATGGATTAATACTCCCAGTGTAACCCTTTCTGCCTTCCCTGGAGATAGAAATCATTAATTTCAGTTCTTCAGCTTCAGGGAGTCTTTTAAAGTCCTGGCAATCCATTCAGCTTTTGAAAATGGACAGAATTCTGTATCCCTAGCAAGACTTAAAGGGTGTAATGGAAGGAAAGTCGTTTTTGTCTGTTCTGAAAAAAGAAATTAGTAGAAAATGTAATTTTTTGGGGGAAAACTCCTGCTTGTATGGAAGAGAATTTAAGCTACTGCTCCTTGCACTCAGATCAGACCATGAGGGCTGAATATTGAGTCATGGCCTGAAATATTTGTATCTTTAATATCAAAAATCGAAATTGATGATTTGGGAAGGACAAGGTCCAAATTGTCCCTAAAAGCTGCAGCTTTTATTGTAGCTTAACCTGTGGGATGTGGATTCTGCAGCAGCAGTGGGGATGGAGGCTGAAAATTCAAATTGCCTTAAGCAGGAAAATGGGTGAGAAAACCCCCAATCCTTAAATCTCTTCTCAGGATTTTTAATCCTGTTTAAAACAGGAGGAGGGAGATTGAAAACTGGAGGGAAATGGGGAATGTCTGGCTTTAACTTGTGGTAGACAGAGGCATCAAGGAGCTGCTGAGTAAAGGTTCTGACCTTGTGGGAAATCCACCCCTGATTTTGCAGGGAAGTGTTAAAATATCAGGGATGAGGAGCAGGAGGTGCCACTGTCACCTCAGCAGGGGCTGAGCGGCCTGGGGGAAGGAAATGGGGGATTTGGGGTCTTCATCATGAATCCTTCCCCTCCTAACGTGCCCTAAAAATCCCAGAGCCACGGAATTGTTTATTCCAAGCGGAGTTCTCAGGGTTGCTGCTGTGTGGAGTGGCAGGAGGTGGGGCTGAGCAGCTCAGGCTGGGGGACAAACCAGGCTTTTCCCATTCCTCGGTGCTTTTGGGGTGGTTTTCATGTCCCTGCACATCAGACCTGTGCTCCTGCCCGAGCCCAGGCTTCCCCTCTGAAAACAGAATTTGTTGTAGCTCACCTCAGAGCTCCTGCTGGTGATGGGGATTGGAAAGTCATTGTCAATAAAGTACAGGTAGCTGTTAGTATAAAATGTTAACAGCATCCCAGGGCAGTCAGTGTGCCATGAACTGACCTGCTGGACAGGGAAAAAATGTAATAGATAAGAGAAAATAAACAATCTTGAAAAGCAGAGCTGAGGAATCAATCTTTGGAAAAGAAGAGACTTTCTGCTGCACTGGGGTGATCCCAACCTCAGAACCCATCGCTGATTTCCTTGAGGTGATGGCTCCTGGTCTCTCCATCTTCAGAAGCTGAACAATTCTCCCTCCCCTCCCATTTTCATCCCCTTAGCCCGTTTTCCCTTGAACAACAAATGGTTGTGAGTGTGCAGAACGCTCACGTGAGCTTCCTGCAGCTCTGGGGGTCCTGACGTGGCTGCTCTGTCCCCCAGGGCCGCGTGGTGGAGAACATCTCCAAGAGGTGTGGGGGATTCCTGCGCAAGCTGAGCCTGCGGGGCTGCCTGGGAGTGGGGGACAACGCCTTAAGGTACCTGAGCCAGGGCTGCCAAACCAGAGGTCTGGGCTCGTCGGGGTCACTCTGTCTGGGGGAAGTCTGGGTTTCCACATGGCTGTGGGGGAAAAACGGGGAGAATTTATCCCCACTTCGGATCCGAGGCACTCAGGATGTCAAAACCTGGAGAGCAGTGGCGGAGATTGTTCATTTTATAGTGAATATAAATATATATAAATAAATAAATAAATAATTGTTCATTTTATAGTGAATATAAATATATATAAATAAATAAATAAATAATTGTTCATTTTATAACGAATATAAATATAAATAAATAAATAAATAAATAATTGTTCATTTTATAACGAATATAAATATAAATAAATAAATAACTAAATAATTGTTCATTTTATAATGAATATAAATATATATAAATATATATATATAATTTTATAATTTAATAACTTTTTATTATTTTGTTAATAATTTTTCTCATTTAATTTGTAATTTTGCATAATTTAATATATTGGGGTTTTGTATAAAAGTTAAATTGTAAATATATAAAAATTAAACAAAAAATTTAATTTATAAATATATAGCTACATTTTTTAATATAAAAAATATATATAAAAATATAAATATATCTAAACATTAATATAATAGAAATAAATAAAACTAGAATAAAATAATATATTCAATAATAAATATAATGAATTAATTACTATAAATATTATATATGTATACATATATTAATTACTATAAGTAAATTAAAATATACTACATTAATAAACTAAATAATAAATGTAATTAATAGAAATGTTATAAATATATCACTAAATTGAAATATGTGTAAGTATATCAATATAAATATATAAATATTCATTAATATAAATTAATATTATTAGAATAAATTAATAAATTAAATAATAGATACAAATAATTAATAGACATCTTTAAATCTATCACTCAATTAATTTTTGACCTCAGCCAGCAGCCACTTCTCTCAGTTCTCATTAAAATAAAACCAGGTGCTGGTGTTGATGGGCACTGGGTGATCCTGGTGCCTCCAGGCTGGGACATCCAGGGCAAGAGGTGGGGCAGCAGAAATCAGGGATTGTCTTGGGTTTGTTCCTGATTCTGTTGAGCGTTTTCTTCTTTAGAGATTCTTTCCTTGATTCTTTTATTCCTCCTTGCTTCTTCTTTCTTGATTCCTTTTTACTTTCTTGATTTCCATCTTGGTTTTCTTGCTTTTTTTCCTGTTTTCTTGATTCTTTTATTCTTGGTTATTTCTTTCTTGACCTTCTGCATTTTCTTCTGGATTTTCTTCTTTCTTAATTCTTTTCTTGGTCTTAATCCTGATTGTCATCCAGATTTTCTTCTTGGTTTTCTTGATTTCTTTCTTGATTCTTTTGATTTTCATGGTTTTCTTCTTGATTTCTTTCTTGATTTTCTGTGTTTTCTTCTTTAATCAGGTTTGTAAAACTTTTTTCACTTGCCATTCCTGTGCCTGACAAATCCAATGTTTTCCCTTTCCTTCACCCCAGGACCTTTGCCCAGAACTGCAGGAACATCGAAGTCTTGAACCTCAATGGTTGTACCAAGATCACGGACGCGTGAGTAAAACTCTTCTTTTGGGTGCCAAAACCTCTTCTTTTGGGTGCCAAAACCTCTTCTTTTGGGTGCCAAAAACTCTTCTTTGGGTGCCAAAACCTCTTCTTTTGGGTGCCAAAAAAGCCAGCCTTGGGATTGTGGGAGGTTTTCCATGGAATCATGGAATGGATTGGGTTGGAAGGACCTGAAATCCCATCCATTCCCACCCTGCCATGGCAGGGACGGCTTCCACCATCCCTGGCTGCACCAAGCCCTGTCCAGCCTGGCCCTGGGCACTGCCAGGGATCCGGGGGCAGCCCCAGGAGTTGCCACCTCCATCCTCACCCCATCCTGCCCATCCCGTGGGATTTCTGCGGCCTGGCATGAATCCATTGCAGGAGTTGTCCCCGTGTGTCTCTTCCAGCACCTGCACCAGCCTCAGCAAGTTCTGCTCCAAACTCAGGCACCTGGATTTGGCTTCCTGCACCTCCATAACCAACCTGTCCCTGAAAGCACTCAGGTAGGAGCTGGCAGCAGGGATTTTCCGTGGAATTTTGGAATCATGAAGGCTGGAAAAGACCTCTGAGATCCTCCAGCCAACCCAACATTCCCTCTGGAGCGATGTCCCCTGCTGGGTGTGGGGCTGCTCTGTGGCTCCCAGAAATGGGAATAGCAGAGCTTCTGGCTTGGAGCAGGATTTCTCCTGAGGCAAATGAGCTTTCCGTGTGTGTCCCTGTGTCCCCAGCGAGGGATGCCCGCTGCTGGAACAGCTCATCATCTCCTGGTGTGACCAAGTGACCAAGGACGGGATCCAGGCGCTGGTGCGGGGCTGCGGGGGGCTCCGGGCCCTGTCCCTCAAGGGCTGCACCCAGGTACAGCTGGAAAAGTGGGAATGGGCATGGCTGGGGTGTCCTGCTGCTCCTCAGGGTGTGGGTGTGGAAATTCATGGATTTGGGTTATTCCCTTCTCCAAAATCCCACAGAGTTGGAGATCAGGTGCTGGGGTGGAAGTTCTTCAGCAGCCCCAAGGAGTGGGACAGGGAATGAATCACTTGTGGGGCTGGAGAATCCTTTTATCCCGATTTCCCTCTTCCCACTGATCCTTTGGAGGAGGTCACTGTGGTCCATGGCCGGATCTGGGCTCGGGGGGTTTCATGGCAGTCCTTTCCTCTGGCTCTGCTGCTGTTGGAGTAAAAAGCAGGAACGCCCCTGGTGCTGCTGCTCCTGTGCTGCATTTCCCTCCTCCCAGGGGAAATCCCCATTCCCTGCTGTCCCAGCTTTAATCCCAGTGCTCCCAGTTCCCATCCCTGTGCTTTCCCTTCCAGCTGGAGGACGAGGCCCTCAAGTTCATTGGTGCCCACTGTCCTGAGCTGGTGACCCTGAACCTGCAGACCTGCCTGGTGAGTGGCACTGCCCAGGTTCCCTCATGGAATGTGCTCCATCCCCCTGCCCACGGGGCACTTGTCACCAGCAGCTCCTTGGTGGCACTTCAGGGGCGCTGAGCCCCTCACCTTTGCTCTCTCAGGGCTGTTTCTCTTCCCTCTGAACTTGGCTGTGGGATGAGCTGGAAAAATCCTTCCCGTGAGGCTGGGCTGGTTCTGCCAGGCCTCTCCTCTGGTCCCCGTGCAGGACTGAGCCCACAAAGACACTTCTGCACACAAGGGCCTCAACCAGCTCTGCAGCGCCAAAAATGTCTGCTTGTGCCTAGAGTTTTTGGGCATAAACACACATTTTTGGCATGGGCTGGCTGGCTGTGCCATTACAGTCCAACACAGGAACAGGGAGGGATGGATGGATGGATGGATGGATGATGGATGGATGGAATCCATGGATGGATGGATGGATGGATGATGGATGGATGGATGGATGGAGGATGGAATGAATGTTGGATGGATGGATGGATGGATGGATGGATCTCCATAACAGTTTTGGGGTGACACGTTTCCATAACACTTTTTGAGCCAAAAAAAGCTGAAATTTGGAACTGGGAGAGACAAATCCTACCTGGATTTGAGTGGGCCGTGTTTTCCCTGGCAGCAAATCACAGACGATGGGCTCATCACCATCTGCAGGGGCTGCCACAAGCTGCAGTCCCTGTGTGCTTCTGGCTGCTCCAACATCACCGACGCCATCCTCAACGCCCTGGGACAGAACTGCCCGCGCCTGCGGTGAGTGCTGCCAGACTTCCCCCATGGGACCCCCAGCACAGCCTCCAGGTTTCGTTTCACCCCACAGCTTTTCCCTTCTCAGCTTTTTCCAGGTGTTTGGAACAGGGTGGTTGTGATTTTTGGGTTGTCCCCTGAATATTTGGGGTTTTAAAGAACTGTGGTGCCCGCAGGCTCTGTGTGTGTCCATGAGGGGAATTTGGGATTGGGTGAACCTTCCCAGAGGTGCCAGGATGTGAGGAGCAGAAACTCAACCAGGACAAATCCCACCCCAAATTCCAGCTGAGGAATGCAGGTTTTCAGTTTCCTTTTTCTCCTTCTGTCAGGGTCAGGATTGAAGGCACTTGAGATGAGGCTCACGTTTAGATTCAGGTGTTTATTATTTATTATCAGTGTTACAGGTTACAGCAGTGAGTTCTGCAGTTTTTCATTAACAAGACACAAATTATCTAACTGTCTCTTGTTACAAGGTATTTTAAGGATACACCATCCAATTAAGAAACAACACCTAAATTATTTTCCCTTTTAACCCAATAACTGATCACTCAAAGCCTTCACTGTGGACTTTTGTCCAATTACAAAATACCACCCAAACCCATGAAGAAGAAGGAAGAAAAAGGTGAAGAAGAAGGAGGAAGAAGATAGAGAAGAACAACCAGTGTCCACCCTAAAACCTCCATCTTGCTTCATATTTATCTCTACATTCTAAACCCCCAAACTCTGATTTTCCACCCTGTGATGTCACACACTCCTAACCAACTCCACACCCACAATCCCAGTGCTATCAGTCAGTTTTGGAAGCCCTCTTCATAACCTCAGGTCAGATACTCTGCAGGGAGTCAGAATCTGTCAGCACAGAAAGTTTCAAATCCTCAGCAGCCCCAACCCCAACACCAGAATTCCCTCCTGAGCGTGGCACGTCCCAGAGCAGCTCCACGAGGACGTGGGGTGGCCCTGGCTGGAGATGTCCCCTGCTGCTCTGCCTGGGCAGGGGTGGCACTGGGGGGTCCCCTGAGGTCACTCCCAGCCCTCTCCTGGGATTTGGGGGCTCCAGCACGTTTCTGTCCTTGTGTCCTGCAGAATATTGGAAGTGGCCAGGTGTTCCCAGCTGACCGACGTGGGCTTCACCACCCTGGCCAGGGTAAGAGCCCTGTTCCTCCTCCTTCCCCTCCTGCTTTTCCTTCTTTTCATACAGGAAAATACAAAAAAATACCCCAGTAGGTAACCAGGGAAACACCCCAGGGAAAACTTGGAATTTGGGTGGAAGCTTAAGGTACAAAAATTCCATTTTATGGGATCTTTGGTATCGTCCTGGGTCACACACCTGGGAGATTTGCATCCAAACCACAGGAAATAGTAAATACTTCAGTTATAAATTTTAGTGTTTTCATTTACTCTCCATGACTTAAAAAACCCTTAAATGAGTGAAATTTCCTTTATTATCCTTCAGAAACGTTGTAAGCTTTCCTTCCAGTTGTGATATTTCATGGAGAAACCCCTTAATTTTTAAAGCAAACTTTGTGGTGTTTAATTTATATTTATATTTATATTTATATTTATATTTATATTTATATTTATATAGATGTTTGTCTATTTAAATAGATATTTAAATATTTAAATTATATACTGTGTATACTATTTATCTTTATATTTGAAATATAATGTATTTATATTATTTATCTTTATTATCTTTATGTGTCTATGGTTTTATATTTATATTTTTTTATGGTTTCATATTTATATTTGCTGTCTGGACTTCACACTCACCACGGGTGTTTGGAATTCTCTTTATTCCTAGAATTGCCATGAGCTTGAAAAAATGGATCTGGAAGAGTGTGTCCAGGTAGGAAATGTTTCTATATTTAAATGTTATATACTGTATGTACTATTTAGCTTTATATTTGAAATATAATGTATTTCTATGATTTATCTTTATTATCTTTATTTTTTGTTGTTTTATATTTATATTTTTTTATGGTTTTATATTTGCTCTCTGGGCTTCACACCCACCACGGGTATTTAATTCTCTTTATTCCTAGAATTGCCATGAGCTTGAAAAAATGGATCTGGAAGAGTGTGTCCAGGTAGGAAAGGCACCTCAGGCTGTTTCTCTTGCAGCAATGGGGAAAATTGGTGGAAAATCAAGGGATTTTCTCCAAATCAGAATTTAATGTGGAATCCTGAGCGGGAAGAGTGGCTGGATTTGGAGAGGAAAATGTTGGGAATGAGGTTTTATCCATGGGAATGCTGCTGTAAATAAGAAATATTTAATAGTGAGAGATCCTGGATCAAATAATGGATTTGTGAGAGAAAATCCAGATTTTTGGGGGAAAATCCTAGAGAAAAATCTTACCTTGTTAAAAGTAATGGGAGTTCCCCCTGATTGGGAAAACCATGGGGAAAATTGTGAAACAAAAATGATTTCAGAGGATTGAAATCAAACTGGGCTGAAGCACTTCCAGGGAAAAGGGTGGAATTAACTCAAAATTCCATGAAAAAACCTCCAAGCCCGAGGGTGGATTGGAAATTGATGGAGCCTGAGACAAAGGGAATGGGATTGGGATTCCTGGGAACAGCTGGACCTGGGCAGAAATTTGGGATATAAAGAGGGAGTGACACCAGCCCAGGCAGGAAGGGATTGGGAATGAACCCTAAAAAGGGAGAATCAAAGCTGAGCCAGGGCACAGATCCATCCAGGCAGCCCCTGAGGGGGTTTGGGATTGGGAATCTTTGTAGGGATTCCTTCTTCCTGAAGAAATCCAGGAATCTTTGTAGGGATTCCTTCTTCCTGAAGAAAACCAGGAATCTTTGTAGGGATTCCTTCTTCCTCAAGAAAACCAGGAGCTGGGCAGGGCACAGATCCATCCAGGCAGCTCCTGAGGGGGTTTGGGATTGGGAATCTTTGTAGGGATTCCTTCTTCCTGAAGAAAACCAGGAATCTTTGTAGGGATTCCTTCTTCCTGAAGAAAACCAGGAATCTTTGTAGGGATTCCTTCATCCTGAAGAAAACCAGGAGCTGGGCAATCTGTGGGGGATTGAGGGAATCTGAGCCCTCCTTGTCCTTCCGGAGGAACATTTGGGACACATTTGGGAGCTGATTTCAGCTCCCTAAGGAAGTTCAGAACAATCCAGTGATGCCTGTGCATGCCAGTTCTCCAAGGGCAGGAGGTGGTTTCCAGGAGGAGGTGAATTCCTGGGGGGCTGTGGGGAAATCTCGTGGATTAGGGAAAATCCTGCAGTTTTGCTTTGATAGGAGAGAAAAAAAAAACCCCAAATCCTTGTGCCCAGCACCAACATGAAAGGGCTTTTCCTTCTTTTCCAGATTACAGACAGCACACTAATCCAGCTTTCCATACACTGTCCACGGCTGCAGGTCCTGGTGAGTATCCCAGGGGACACTTCCAGCATTTCCTCTCTCCAAACAAAGAGATTTTAACAGTTGGGAGAATTCTGCTGCAAGCCTGACCCTGAGGAACCTCTTATCCCTTCCCTGCTGCTCACAGGAATCCCCCCACAGGGAAAAAAGGTTGTGGGGGTTGTCCCAGGAGCAGAATTCCAGGTGGGATCTGCCTGCACAGGAGCTGTCAGTCTGTCTGTGGGACAGGAACCTGCAGGGCAGCCAGGGGCTGAAACTCGGGGGGTTTGGTCTGTGTCACCCCTGGGCTGTGCCATGAGGGGTCCTGTCCTGGCAGCTGGGGGTCCTGCAGGGCAGCCATCCCTCAGGAAAGGCAGTCCAGCCCCTGCCTCAGGCCCTGCTTCCTCCTCGAGGACTTTCCAGGTGAATCCCCCTGAAAATCCACACCAAGGGGGGGGCATCGTGTTCCTGCTGCCCCTTGGAGCTGGGCCAGGGCCCTTCCCAAAGGCCACAGGTGTCCCAAAGGTGGGTTCCTGCAAGCTCAGCTGTGCTGGAATTTCTGTGCCACCCTGGGGGTCTCACCCCTCCAGAGCTGCATTCCCCAGGAACCATGGAAGGGACCCTCAGGATCATCCTGTTCCCATGGGCAGGGACACCTTCCAGAGCCCCAGGGTGCTCCAAGCTCTGGCCTTGAACACTTCAGGGGTGTGGGGCAGCCCCAGCTGCTCTGGGCACCCTGTGCCAGGGCCTGCCCTGCAGGGCGAGGCAGGAGGTGTGATGGGCTCTGATGCCTCAGGAAATTGGGCAGAGCCCAACCTCACCCATCACGGACCATCCTGCCATCCCCAGCGAGGTTCTGGCTGGTTTTGGGAGCTGGGTTTGACCCCTCTCTCTGGGGACAGAGTTTATCCCACTGCGAGCTGATCACGGACGATGGGATCCGTCACCTGGGCAATGGGGCCTGTGCCCACGACCGCCTGGAGGTGATCGAGCTGGACAACTGTCCCCTGATCACCGACGCCTCCCTGGAGCACCTCAAGAGCTGCCACAGCCTGGAGAGGATAGAACTGTACGACTGCCAGCAGATCACACGGGCCGGCATCAAGAGACTCAGGGTGAGCTGGGGCGGGGAGGGTTCAGCCAGGGGGAGCAGCTGGGATCAGGAGGGTTCAGCCATGGGGAGGAGCTGGTTTGGGAAGGGTTTATCCATGGGGAGGGTTCATCCACAGGGAGCAGTTGGGATCAGGAGGGTTCATCCACAGGGAGCAGTTGGGATCAGGAGGGTTCAGCCATGGGGAGGAGCTGATTTGTGGGGGGTTCATCCCTGGAGAGGAGCTGGGATTGGGAGGGTTTATCCATGGGGAGGGTTTATGCACAGGGAGGAGCTGGTTTGGGTGGGGAGTTTAGCCATAGGGAGGAGCTGAGATCAGGAAGGTTTATCCATGGGGAGGGTTCATCCATGGGGAGGAGCTGGGATGGGGAGGAGCTGGTTTGGGAGGGGTTTATCCACAGGGAGGAGCTGGGATGGAGGGGTTTATTCATGGGGAGGAGCTGGAATCAGGAGGGTTCATCCATGGGGAGGGTTCATCCGTAGGGAGGAGCTGGGATCAGGAGGGTTTATCCATAAGGAGGAGCTGGTTTGGAGGGGTTTATCCATAGGGAGGGTTTATCCACAGGGAGGAGCTGGGATCGGGAGGGTTCATCCACAGGGAGGAGCTGGGATCAGGAGGGTTCATCCACAGGGAGGGCTGAGCTGGCAGAGCTCCCATCACCTGGTGCTCCTGCTCAAATTGTGAGAAGCATCAGTGCTGGGTTTGGAGTCATGGAAAGGTGGAATGCTTTGTTTTGGACACTTTCCACTCCCCTGGGCTGCCTTGGACACTTCGGGGATGCAGGGGCAGCCCCGGCTCCTCTGGGCACCCAGGGCCTCACCCCCTCACAGGCAGGAGTTTCATCCCAGTATCCCCTCCTGAGTCACCTTCTCCACGTGTAAAGAATGATAACATTTCCCCTGCCAAGAGAGCGTGGATCTGCAAACTTACACCATAAAATGATGGAACATTTGGGTGATTTGAGCTGGGAAAGCCCAACCAGGGACCTCCCACTACCCCAAACTTCCAAGGCTGGGAATTCCACCCATTCCCACTAAGGGCAGGGGGGGTCCGGGGGCCGGCCGCCCCCATCCCTTGCGGCTCGGGCCGTGTCCCTGACTCCCCCCGCTGTTTGTCCTTGCAGACCCACCTGCCCAACATCAAAGTCCACGCCTACTTCGCCCCGGTGACCCCCCCGCCCTCGGTGGGCGGCAGCCGGCAGCGCTTCTGCAGATGCTGCATCATCCTATGACAGCGGAGCCTGCTCCCGGCCGGGGCTGGCACCGCCCGGGCAGCTCCGGAGCCTCGGGCCAGCGCCCGTGTCCGTGCCAGGGCCAGCGAGCGGGGCTGGGCCGCCCGCAGCCCCCTGTGAGCCCGGCGGGATGAGGGACTGCGGGCGGAGCCGGCTTGTCCTGAAGCGTTCCTGCTGGGAATTCCTGGCAGTGCCCAGGGGAGGGGCCCGGCCTGGAGGGACTGGTGCTGCTGGTGAGGTTGGGAGAGGAGCGGAGATCCTTGGAAAGGGGAGAGGGGAGAGGAGAGGAACACGCCGGAACCCCCTTGTGCAGAAGGAAAAACCCCCAAAAACCTAAAAACCCCACAAACCTGAAAGCCCCAAAAAACTCTAAAAGCCCCAAAAAACCTAAAAACCCCACCAAATAAGTTCCATGTCCATTTGTCAGTGAGGGAATGAAACAGCAGCTGCTGAGCCAGGATTTCCCTGGTCCAGGATTTCCCTGGGGTCCCAAATTTCCCTGGAATCCGGAATTCCCCTGGGGTCCAGGATTTCCCTGAGGTCCCAGATTTCCCTGGGATCCAGGATTTCCCTGGTCCAGGATTTACCTGAGGTCCCAGATTTCCCTGGGATCCAGGATTTCCCTGGTCCAGGATTCCCCTGTGCTTCCCTGCTCCACCTGAGCATGCTCACATGAAGGTTCATCTTCCCTGTGGCAGAGGCTTCCCAGATTCTTCCCAGGTTGTTGTGATAGACCTTGGAATTTCTAATGCCACATATTTTACCCTCCCCAAATCCTGCCTTTTATTTTCCTTTTTTTTTCCCCTTTTTTTTAGGGTGTTTTTTTTTTTTTTTTCCTGGGTGGTTTTTTTGGGTTTTTTTTTTTAATTTTTTTTCCCCCAATTTTTTCTTTTTTTACCTTTGCTAGGGCTTCCCTTTTATTTGTGGGGATTTGACATTCACCTGACAAGCAGCACTGATTTCAGAACAAACTTAGGTAACCCTCACTGTGTTCTCTAGCTTAGTCTGGTACCTCAGACTTCATTGATTTTAAATTCTGGTGCTTGCTAGTATTGTTCACATTGCAAAGAACTTGGGTGGTTTTTTGGGGTTTTTTTTTTCAATTTTTTTCCCCCAATTCATTCATTTCTTGAGATTCCCCAGCCCAAAGCCACAAATCCATAAAGATTTTTTTCCCAGGAGAAGCCTGAACCTGTGGTGAGCTGTCAGGAAGATTTTTAAGGAGCGTGGGAAGCTGCACCCCAGGCTGGGCCCTCCTGGCCTTTGTGATCAGGGATTGGGTGTCCAAATTTATCCCAAATCCAGGTTTTACCCCAATGACAAGGATACAACTCTCCACAGGGAATAATATATAAAAATATATAATTCTCAGTACAGGGAGAACGTGTTCCAAGGACTGTGAGTTCCCTCCTCCTGTCCTTCCCCTCCATCCTCCCCCCAAGGAAAAGCCAAGTAGAGCTTTTTGTTTGTTGCCCTGGTGAAGAATTAAGGATTCCCTGGCGGAGCAGGGCTGGGACCCAGCCTCAGTGCCCGTGGGGGCCCTCCCCAGCTGCCCAGGTAAGTGTGTGCCCTGCAGGGAGATGGGCTTTGCACGTGCCAGGCCCAGCTCTGGGGGAGGCGGGGGGTCCCTGGCTGCTTTTTTGGGGTGTTCCAGGCGAGTTCAGGGCTCGGTGTGGAGCTGCTGGGCAGATCCCAAGCTTTGAGGGGCAGGGCTGCTCCGTGGGGCCGTGTCCGTGGTTCCTGCTGTCCCTGCAGGGAGCTCAGGGCTCCCCTGCAGCAGGAGCTGGCTTCTCCCGGTGCTGAGCACTCCTGGTGGGCAAAGAGCAGCTGCAGCACCAGGAGGGGATGGTTCAGGGGCTGGAGGGGGGGTTTTCCCACCAGGAATTCCAAGGACAAGGCGCTGTTCCCAGCAGGAGGGTCCCAGGTGCCCCTGGAGCTGCACCCCCTGCTCTCCCCCAGCCCCCCAGGCTGCTGTGGTTAAAAGGATACTGTCAACGCCCTCCTGTAGACGGCTTTTAATCCCTGATATTTATTCAAATCCTCTTTAGCGCTGTGGATCCTCCCCCTCTCCTCAGGCGCCTTCATTTCCAGAACTTTCTCCAGGTTTCAGGGTGGCAGAAGATGGTGGTGACAGACTGCACGGGCCAGGGGTCACCCGGCAAGCACAGGATTTGCACAACTCGGGGAAAATCAAATAAAAACAAAACACTTTTGTTGAGTTCCCACTGTGGCGGGGGAGAGCGAAGAGCAGGATTTTGGCTGACTGATCCCTTTGTAACAGAGCAGAGTTTTCCAGGGAAAACTCCAGAACACAGAACCCAAAGCAATTTATTTTCTGTTTGCAGAGCAGGGTGACAGCATTAAGGTAGCTCAAACTTCTTGACAGTGTCCTTTTAAGTCAATTATCCGTCTTCAAATGGACTCTTCCTGATGTTTATATTTATAAATACCAATAAACACCATTTTCCAAGCTGTGTCTCGCTGGGGGAGTCACTGGGTGGAGGAAAATCCACCTCTGCATGGGGCAGCTCCTGAGGGGCAGCTCTGAGTGGTTTCATGGAGTCAGGAATGGTTTTTTGGGGGTGGAGGGAGCTCGGAGCTCATCCAGGGACTCCTTCCTTAGCCTCACAACGTGCAGGAATTGCTCCATCCTGGTTTTCTGAGGGGTTTCTGGAGCCTGGATCTGCCTCCCAGCACCTTCCCACAGGAGCAGGGAGCTCTCCAGGAAAGCAGCCTGGGGTAGGAGATCCTCCAGGGGGCTGAGCACATCCAGTGGAACCAAAAAAAGAGAATTTTCTGGGCCTTGGAGACACTGCAGCACCTTCTATCCCAGTTCTGGGACAGGGTGAGGGTGGGGCAGGTGGGAAGTGCTGTCACAGGGGTTGTTTCAAACCAACAAATTCCATTTTTTGCACATCTCTGTAATTCCCTTTGTATTTCTGTTTGATTTCCTCTCTTGTTCGTGGCTGGCTGCTGCTGCTGTGGGGTTTGGGGTGATTTTGGGGTTTTTTTGGCAGGATAGGGATGGATTGGCATCAGTGTGACATCTTGGCTGCAGTGTCCTGGAAAATATCCTAAAACATTTTGGCTTTTTCTGGTGAGGGGTTGTGTGCTTGATGTGCCTGGGGGTGTTTCGGGGGGTTTTATTCCTTTTTGCTTTCTTTCCTGGCATCCAGGTCAAGGTTTCTGCCCTCCCTCTGTGCCAAAGCCTGGCAGAGGCTCCTGTGCTGCAGCCTGGGGATGTGGGGCTGAAATGATGAAAAAATCAAGGAGAAGCTGCTTTTCCTCCTCAATTCCCCTTTGTTCTCCCCTGGGCAGTGTCCCCAGTGTCCCCTCACCTTGTCCCCGTCCCTGCCCCGCGGCTCTGAGTGACCTCACATGGAAACCTGGATTTTTTTAAGGGATGGGAGAATCCATCCCTGCCCCAGGCTGGGAATGTCACCCCGTGCCAGCAGTGCCACACTCGGGGCTCTTTGTGCTTCATCTCTGTCCCCAAAAGTGCAGCTGTGAGCCCCCTCCCCTGTGCCACCCCCAGTCCCCTGTCCCCTTCCCTCGGGGCTTTGACACTTTTTAAATTTGACATTTTTTAAATTTGACACTTTTTATCTTTGACACTTTTAAACTTTGACACTTTTTAAATTTTACACTTTTTAACTTTGACACTTTTTATCTTTGACACTTTTCAGCTCGGGGGTCTCCCGGTGGCTGCTGGGGACACGGGCTGGGGGACACAGGGGACAGAGAGTTGGGAAATGTCCCTTAAATGAAATGTGCTCGTCTCGGCACTGCGGGTGTGACAGCGCCTTGAACTGGGAGTTAATTGTAAATGCACCTGGTTAATTAAGGTGGCTCTGGCCTCTGTGACACCGCGGGCCGTCCCTGCGGGCTGGGGACACAGGGGACAGTCAGAAAGGGCTGGGGACACAGGGACAGAATGGGCTGGGGACATAGGGGACACTCAGGGCTGGGGACACAGGGACAGAAAGGGCTGATCCCTGCGGGCTGGGGACACTCAGAATGGGCTGGGGACACAGGGACAGTCAGAATGGGCTGGAGACACAAGGGACACTCAGGGCTGGGGACACAGGGGACACTCAGGGCTGGTGGGACTCTGGATCCCCATGGAGTGTTTTTGGGAGATGTCCCCTTGTCCCATCCAGCAATGTCCTGTGTCCCGTGTCCTCCCCTTGTCCCCATGGCTGTGCTGGCAGCTCTGGGCCGGGGCTGTCCCCACACCCCAAACCCACTGGGGACCCCAAACCCACCGGGGACCCCAAACCCACCGGGGACCCCAAACCCCGGCGGGCTGACAGTAAACACGGGGGAGGGAGGGGCAGCGTTTGCTGACAGTAGAAGGGGGGACACCAGAGCTCCCCCAGTCCTTGTCCCAACCAAACCCCCCTTGTGTGTCCTGCCACCATCACTTTAATTTCTGCCAGATTTGGCTCTTTTTCGGCAGAAAAAGGGCATTTGCAGAGCCCCCAGTGTGGGGGGGCAGTGGGGGCTGTGTCCCCCACTTGGGTGTTGGGGTGTCAGATTTGGGGGGGGGTCTATGGGTGCTGTCCCCGCCAACCCCCCGTGTGTCCTGCCACCCTCCCTTTAATTTCTGCCAGATTTGGCTCTTTTTGGGCAGAAAAAGGGCATTTGCAGAGCCCCCAGTGTGGGGGGGCAGTGGGGGCTGTGTCCCCCACTTGGGTGTTGGGGTGTCAGATTTGGGGGGGGGTCTATGGGTGCTGTCCCCCTTCATGGTGACACTGGGATGTGACACGGGGGTGTCACACAGGGGGGTGTCACACACAGACCCATCACCCTGATGAGCTGGGAGGGTCTCAGCTCCATTTTTGGGGTGGGGGGGACCCTCCCCAGCTCACTGACCCCCCCCAGGTGGGCCCAGAGCCCATCCAGGCCGTGTCTGTCTGTCTGTCCAGCCATTCCCAGTGTGGGATGGGGCTGCCAAGGAGCTGCCGGGGGAGTTTGGGGGTGCCCTGGTGTGAGCTCCCCCAGCTCCTCCCTGAGCCTTGGGGGGGTTCAGGGGTCCCCTGTGCCCGGGGCTGTGGGGAAGGGTCCCCCCCGTCCCCTCCCCGCTGCAGACACGGAGAGCCGAGGGAAGAGTCCGGGATGTTTTATTGGGGGCCCGGGGACGGGCCAGGCTGGGGACAGGGGACAGCCCGAGGTCACTTCTTGGCCTCCTCCTCCTTGGAGAGGGTTTTGATGATCTCCTCCTTCTTGGCCTGCAGCCGCTCCTCGCGCCGCTTCCGCGCCTCCTTGGTCTTGGAGCGCCGCGCTTCCGCCTGGTCCCTGCGGGGCCGGGGCTGTGAGGGACCCGAGCGGCCCCAAACCCACCCAGAACAGCCCCAAACCACCGTGAAACAGCCCCAAACCACCCAGAAACAGCCCCAAACCCACCCAGAACAGCCCCAAACCACCCAGAAACAGCCCCAAAACTACCCAGAACAGCCCCAAAACACCCCAGAAACAGCCCAAAATACCCCAGAGCAGCCCCAAACCACCCAGAAACAGCCCCAGGACACCCCAAAATACCCCAGAACACACAAACCCACCCAGAAACAGCCCCAAACCACCCAGAAACAGCCCCAGGACACCCCAAAATCCCCCAGAACACACAAACCCACCCAGAAACAGCCCCAGGACACCCCAAAATCCCCCAGAACACACAAACCCACCCAGAAACAGCCCCAGGACACCCCAAAATCCCCCAGAACACACAAACCCACCCAGAAACAGCCCCAGGACACCCCAAAATCCCCCAGAACACACAAACCCACCCAGAAACAGCCCCAACCCCCCCTAAACCACCCAGAACAACCCCACAACAGCCAGCACCACCCCAGAAGAGCCCCACACCACCCAGAACAGCCCCAGAACACCCCCAACAGCCCCACACCGCCCTGATCCCTGCCCCACAACCCCACCTCCCTGGGCCCTGCTGTCCCTGTTTTGGGGTCGCGTGTCCCTGCTGAACCCCAGAGTGATGAGATCCAGCTGTTCCCCCCAAGGACACACTGGGATTTTGCAATCCCTCCCCTGGTCAATCCTTCACCTCCTCCAGCAGTGATCAGGGATCTCCCAGTTCCCACCTCGGTGAAACCCCACCAGAACCCCCCTTTCCCTGCTGCCAGCCAGCCCTGCCCCGTGTGGGATCCAATCCCCCTGGAACGACCCCCGGGGGGGATCTGCCCCTGCCAACCCCCCCTGCCTGCAGCAGCACTTACGCCAGGAGCTTCTTGCGGGCTTTGTCGGCCTTCAGCTTGTGGATGTGCTCCATCAGGATCCGCTTGTTCTTGAACACGTTGCCCTTGACCTTCAGGTACAGGCTGTGGTACCTGGGGGGCACGGGGGTGGGGGCATCAGCGCCGGACTGGGAGCACTGGGATGGACTGGGATGGCATGGACTGGGAGCACTGGGATGGGATGGACTGGGAGCACTGGGATGGCATGGACTGGGAGCACTGGGATGGGATGGATTGGGAGCACTGGGATGGCATGGACTGGGATGGGATGGATTGGGAGCACTGGCATGGACTGGGAGCACTGGCATGGCATGGGATGGACTGGGAGCACTGGGATTAAGGGATGTCCCTGCCCTGCTGGCAGTGTGGGAAGTGCAGGGCCAAGGATTCAGGGCTCACCCCAGCCCTTGCTGGCAGAACTGGACCTGTCCAGGGACTGCTCTGGCCTATAGTGGGAGTGCTGGCCCTGTGCTGTGCCTAACTCAAACCCAAACCCTAACCCAAACCCAAACCCTAACCCAAACCCTAACCTGCCTTCCTGAGGCTGGGATTGCCCAGGGAGGGCTGGGAATGGCTGGGATTGCCCAGGGCATGGCTGGGATTGCCCAGGGCATGGCCAGGGTCGCCCAGGGCATGGCCGGGGTCGCCCAGTTGCCCAGGGAATGGGCAGGGTTGCCCTGGAAATGGTTAGGGAATGGCCAGGGTTGCTCTGGGAGGGCTGGGAATGGCCAGAGAACGCCCAGGATTGCCCAGGGAAGAGGCAGGGTTGCCCTGAGAATGGCCAGGGAACAGCCAGGGTTGCCCTGGGAGGGCTGGGAATTATCAGGGTTGCCCTGGGAACAGCCAGGGAATGGCTGGAGTTGCCCAGGGCATGGCCAGGCATGCCCAGGGAGGGCTGGGGATGCCCAGGGAGGGCTGGGGATGCCCAGTGTTGCCCAGGGCATGGCCGGGGTCGCCCAGGGCAGCTGGTACCCCGGGCTCGGGGGCACAGGGCTCACATGTGGCGGTCGATCTTCTTGGACTCGCGGTAGCGCCGCAGCAGCCGCCGCAGGATCCGCATGCGCCGCATCCAGGTGACCTTCTCGGGCATGCGGGCGTTGGCCGTGCCCTTCCTCTTGCCTGGGGGGGGACGGGGTGAGAGGGAGCCCCAGTTCCTGCCAGCTCAACCCCACCCTCGTGCCAAAGCTTCCCATCCTCCCCTGCAGCTCAAACGACCACG